CACACAACTGATAACAACTGGAAGTACATGAAACCAGAGCAGATAGCATTGAAGGGAGAGTTCCCTTGGATCAATCTGACGTACTTCCAGTTCCCTTGTTAGGGAATCCTAATGGAAATCTCTACACATTACCCATCCCAAACCTTTTAAAACCTTTTGTTTGTAGATCTGTCAATGAGTGATCAATCAATCAATCAATCAATCAATCAATCAATCAATGAAAACCCATTAGCTTTTGACTGATACAATTCCCCAGGTTCTGTCTTTAGGGGGCAGCAACTGTATAAAATAAAGGCAATGATTTGGTCTCCAAATTCCATACATTCTGATAATTCTGTAAGAACTTTTTTGTGGGTGGGGGGGCAGGAGGAAACACATAGCGATGGACGGCCTGCATCCTGACAGCTTGGGACATGTCACACATTAAATTGTTCCGCAGCTGGTGCCTGTCTTCATGCTGGGATGACACTTCGAGTCCGTTTTGCAATGACTTGTCTCAGCCTGACACATTCACAGCTGTAAATGATTTATCTCTGGCTTTCCATCTCGACCCACTTCAAAGCGCGGCTGGCTCTTCTGCTGCCTGGATAAGACAGGGACGGAGGTGGAGGCAGAGGGATGGCGGGGAAGGAAAGGGGGAGGGTTGCTTCTGGGAGTTGCCCCTATTGTTAATTGTTCTTTTCACTCCTACATTGTTGAGAACAAGGAAGAGCAGGGCGATGATAAAAGTCTCCAGTGGTCTCTCAGGCAGCCGTCAGCCATCTCAACCTAGAGGTGACCCTGGGAGGGAAGTGGGGGATGCATTTTGTCAATTTCCAGCTGCAAACTGTATCCCTGACTGTGTGTGTCACCTTAACATCGTTTGTGTTGTCTCTGTCAAGGCACATAGGCCACTTTCCCTCCCCTCCCTTCCTCCCTCCCTGTTTCCCTCGCTCCACACCACCCCCCCACCACCCCCAACACACACACTCAGTCAAAGTTAACTTACTGTTTTTTTAGACAAATCATAATTAAAGAAAGATTTTTGTGGTTTTTTTTGAGTTTGATAAAGCAGATCTATTATTTTGATTCTTAATCTTTGTCGTGTGGGAAATATCCCAGTGTTAGAGGCGTTATACGGTTGTTAAAAGAAACAGAGGGGAGATGAGAAGAAATGTTTTCAGCCAGCAAGTTGTTTGGATCTGGAATGCATTGCCTGAAAGGCTGGAGGAAGTCGATTCGATAACTTTTAAGAGAGAAGTAGATAATTATTTGGGGAGGACAAGTTTGCAGGGCTATGGGGAGAGCGCGGGGGAATGGGGTTGATTTGGAAACTCTTTTCAAACAGTCGGCACAGACACAATGGGCCGAATGGCCTCCTTCTGTGCTGTATAATTCTATGATTCTATGATATAAATGCAAGTTGTTGCTGTTGTTGTTTTTGTTGGATACCTTCTCTTTTGAAATAACCTCTTCTATTTTTTTTAACTAATCTTTCTTTCTTTCTTTCTTTCTTTCTTGCTTTGAAAAGATATCACAAGACCAAGAGCTCTTGTCTAAGTTGTTCGCACCAAAGGGTTACCTGACTTTTCAAACCAATCGAATGTCACTGCCAGTAATGTATTGCAGTACACAGTTTGGGTAACATTAGTGCTGTTTTGCCATCTGACCTCAACTGTTTTGAAAGGACCCGAAAATATCCATCAGATATCAGATTGAGCGGTCAGTAGGAATAATTGACTGTATCTCAAAACAGTCCAATTTTCTTCTTGTACCACTGCACAATTGTAGATTGCAAATGTCTAAATACAAATTCCCAAACCCTCTTTCTGTCTCACGCACTATGGTAATTTGTCGATAATATCGACTACATCAGTACCAAAGGTGACGTCTTACAAGAAATTTTGACTCAAGTATGTCTTAAATGGCACTTGGATATGTGACTGATGTTTTTGTGCCCCTTTTAATAATGGGTTCTCGCTGCTCAAGTATCTGGTAACTCATGCTTTCCTAAACAACTGAAATACTTAAATAAGGGTAAAATATTACCTCGTCAACCTGCTCAAGGCTTGAACACAAACCATGAGTGAATAGCATGTGCACTTCTCACGTGATCTTCACAAACATGTAACAAGCAACAAGTCGAAACAACTTTTCTCACAAATATTTGAATTGTATTTGCCAAGATCGCGCCTAAATTTGCAATATGCAGCGCAGAGCAAACTGAACTCAAACTTGGTTATTTTGCATCAATTTAAATAGTTTGACAAAAGTGTTTAATATGATGCATCATCTGTGTTGTATGTTTTTCATCTGGCCTTATAAGAATGTATTCATTTGTTATTACAGTATTTAATCCTTGCATTTTAATACAGCGCCTTATCCCATCTTCGAGATGCCTCAAAGTGCTTCACAGAATATACTGCAAAGTGAATTGACTGTAATAATAGTAATTATTATTTCCGTAATTCCTGTAATATGCGTTTAATATAGTGCCCCGTTATAAGGCAGGAAATATATGTCAATTGCCTTTCAAAATGTGTGGGATTACATCCACATGTGTTAAGACCAGCTCACTACGGAATTCTCCTGCAGTGCAGATTTTATCCCAATTTCACAGTCGATAGAGAGTCTGTGTGCGATTCAGGGGCAGGTGAGGAGAAGGGACGTCGGGGGGGGGTCTAGAGGGCATCAATCCATGTCAAACAGCGGCTCCTACTGACAACAAACCTCCCAGTCCCAGACACCTGTAGTCGTCTTGTGGGTAGAAGGAAGAGAAGAGGCGGTGGTGGGACGCATTGAGCACAGTCCAGTTCATCAAGAAAGGAAACAGAACAATTAGCATTTCACACGCTTTCTCTTTTCTCTCTCCCCCTCCCCTCCCCTCCCCTCCCTCCCTTTTCCCAACTCAACTCAACTCCAAACCCTACCTTCCCTACAGAATTCATCGTTTCCAATGGATTGTCCTTTTTTGGCCGATGCATGCGTTGGCAGGGTGACAGTAGTCGAGTGTGCAAACTTGCGCTATTGTCCCCAGACGCCGTGAAGCCATGGCGACCCACTAATATGACACAGGAAAATGTTTACTGATGGATATTCTATGGGCTTTGTCCAACTCTTTCTCTATCATGACGACTCGATTTAAGTCTCTAACTGTTTGACTACAAATGCAAGAGTGCTATCCGACTCGATCCCATTGTCAGGGCGGTTTGAATGGGTAATTCAGCTTTTGTGTGTCTCGATTGAGGGGGCAAACATAAAGACAAGATTCTTGAGCGCTCAAGCCCTCTATCCATGGATATCTGCACATCTCTTCAGGTTTTTTCCCCCCTCCCTCTCTTACTTCTCCTTCTCTGACATCAACCCTCCACCACCCCCCACCCCCCCCCACCCGCGCCCCCCTCCCCAACCCCAAATGCCTAAGCAGAACAGTTAAAAGCAAGGGAAACTGGACTCGCAAAAGCCAGTATTGTATTGCTGCACTGAAGCATACCCATTCTGCAAGCCTCCAGACAGCTTAAGTTATTTTCATGGAGAGAGAGTGAATGAGAGAGAGAGGGGGAGAAAGAGATAAACTCTCCACCAAGTCTTTTGTACATTATCCGCATATCATGTTTTATAGCGAGAGGCAGGGGTGAGAGTGAGAGGGAGAGAAGGGGCGAAAGAGAAAGAAGGATTGGGGATGGGGTGGGTGGGGGGGATAAGAAATGATTGTATTTATTGGCTGCTTTTTTCTCCCCCCGCCCCCTAACCCCCTCCCTCTCTAACGTTTCCACAACAACAATTTGTGACACAAAAAGAATGTGGAAGAAGACAGCCCCATTGCCTGATTGGGATGTATTGTGTTAAGATGCAGTTTCTCATTGGTCTGGAAGTGCCTTAACTACAGGCAGTTGATATTCATTCAGCTTACTCTAGTGGGGGGAAAAATAGAAGGAAATTGCAAGATTTGTTCTCCAGTGGGTCTCAAAGGTTAACTCTTTCTTTCATTTAAAAATATATATTTATATCTAACTAAACAACAACAACAACACCACCACCCACGATTAAACAAGCAACGGATCTTTAATAACCCAGTGAGTTCAGGTAAGACAGGACTGTTATATGGCTTATTTATGGTGGAGAAATACAATGGATATAAAGTATTTCAACTGACAAATGAGGGCTGAAACTAGCAACGTGATGAACTGGCAAAGCTCGAGAGGAAAGTGCAGGTAAATCTGTAAATGGCACAATGAAGAGCAATGTCCGGACACCTGTGAAGTAAAGTTGCCTTTTTTTTTTTACGCACACATTTTAAAACGATGTAAATGTCACTTTTTTTGCACGCACACACAACCTCAAAATTAAAGGTGGTCGAAAATTGATCCCCGTAGAGAGAGGCTGGTTTACCAGAGGAACCCGATGATGGACATTGTTGGTGGAATGAAATGTAGTAACTTTTTTCTCTCTCAAGACTTACAAAAAACAGATCAACACCAAATATTTCATACATACTCGTGCGACCGACAGACTAGACTGCACGCTCTTACAGTTCATCTCTATTTTAATGGACTTGGGTGCGGGTTTAAACGAAGAAAACAAGGGCTTTGCAACTTTATTACTGACCTGTCCAAACCAATTAACCTTTTTTTGTTAAGAAAAAAAAGCACGTTGACTTTGTCAGATACATTGATCCAAAATTATTGATGATGATGATGATGATTATATCGATTGAAATTAAGTGACTTCAGAAAAGGAGTTTTGGCTGATGAGATAACTTGAGCAACTCAAAGAAAAATTGCTTCCGAGTTATTTTTTTCTCTCTCCTTCCCCCCCACCCCCCACACAAAAAAAGTGACTGATGTTGTTTGTTTGGCTTTTTTTGCAGAACTCCAGGAAGACGGAGAGAGGAGAGGAGAGAGGAGAGGAGCCTTGTGACTAGACTCTTAATGGCAAACAAGTCGCAGCCCAGATTGCCCTGACTGAGAGTTTAGAATTATATCTATCTATATATCTATAGATAAATATATTAAAATAAAATGGCATCAGCGGACAGTGAGGTTAAAACTTTGCTGAATTTTGTCAACCTGGCTTCCAGCGACATCAAGGCAGCTCTGGACAAGTCTGCTCCTTGCAGACGCTCTGTGGATCACAGGAAATACTTGCAGAAACAACTCAAACGCTTTTCCCAGAAGTATTCCAGGATTCCCAGGTGCCATCCCAGCCGCTTCGTGGAGTCGGGGTTGAAGAGGGTGTCTGAGGACAAGAGCCGTGGGTCGGACACAGACCATGGGGACTCCAACACACCCCAGCCACAGCCTCCCTGCCTTAAAGCCTCTTGCCTTCTTGACCAGGATCCCAGGGGCTCATTGCCAGGCCAGCCCTCGGCTGCAGAGCAAGGCAAACAGCTGAGCAGACAAGACCAGGTCCCCATGAGGAAACGCCAGCTCCCGGCTTCCTTCTGGGAAGAGCCGAGACCACCCAAGAACCTACAGCGCTCCTTGAGCGCCTTTCAGACTGCGGAGAAGGTGTACGGTCTGGCTGAAGGACCATCAGGAGGTGGAGGGCACAGAAGCCAAGCCCAGGACCTGCCAGAGGCCGGGAAGCAGGTCAGGGCAGCCCAACTCCAACAGGACTCCAGCCAGAGAGAAGAACCCGTGAAGTTCCACTTGACTTCTCTGTCGCGGGCCATGAACGTGTGCGGCTGCTGTCCATTTCAGTACCATGGCCAGCAAGTCTACCACAGCCACAGCCACTTGGCTCTGCCTCACTCCAGCTTTCAGGACCTTGGGCTGTGGAGGAAAGCTCTGGCCACGCCCGCACACGACCTCCACACTTACTCCAAAGACTCGCTGAATGGACAGAAGGTTCACAAACCCATCGTTTTCAAACCCATCCCCACCAAACCCCCGCCTCTGTACAACGTCTATAGTTTCCTTTGATTGCGGTTGACTGTGCAAAGGTGATTCACTGGACAGTTAGAGCAGAGAGAACTTTGTAATTGCAACTATATATATATATCTGTATATATATATGTGTGTGTGTATAATGCTGAAGATAAAATCAATTTATATAGCCACTAAAATACACGTACACACAAACAAACTATCTTTGTGGCTATTGGATTATTTATTTTGTTGGTCTTTTCTGGGACCACCCAAACAAAAGATGAAACCTTTCGATGTCAGCGCGTTTATAATAAGAAGCAGATTACTGTTTCACGTTGGCTGTGTGCAGTAAATAGCAACACCCACTTGTCTTACGCTGGGCCAGATGCGTCAAATTGAAGGGAATTGATGAGTTAAAACAGCTGGAAACAGCCACACAAGCCGGGAAATCAACCCCAGCTCTTCTGTTTTTGATTAACAAAAAAATAAGGTTGCAAATATGTTGGAGAGTAACTGCAGAAAGGTATGGAGGCTGTTGGTTTAAAAGTTCATCTGTAGGAACGTTTTTAGACCTTGAAAAGTCATGCCTTTGGCGGGATGGAAGTTGGAATTAAAAATCTAAGGAATCGTTTCACTTTTTTGGTGGTTTATTGTCAGCCGGTGTGTCTGTCTGCCATTTGTGCGCCTTGCCGCCAACATGGTTTCAATGCAATTTTATTTGAATAAAAAAAACAGGGTTCCCTCCTTCTCATTGTAAAAGTCAGCACCTGAAAGATTTTGTGTGGGTTTTAAACGAGTGACCCGATCTCATAATAATATAATAATAATCCTTACACTTGATGCAGCATCTCATCAGATCTTCACGACGTCTCAAAGCGCTTCACAGAAAATACTGTCAAGTGAATTGACTGTATATTTTGTGGGCGAAACGCGGCAGCCAATTGCGCACGGCAGCGTCCCACAAACAGTCATGGATTGAGTGACAAAATTATTATTTTTTGGGGTTTGAAAGGATTATTACTGCCCCCCCCCCACCAAAAAAAAACCCAAAAGAACTTGTCCATACAATGAATGGTTTGCAGGACTTGCGAGATGCTAAACTTGGTCAAATCTTACCAGGTTGTCAGTTATACTACTGTATCGGTACTGTCACTGTTTAGTAGTGGTACGAGTGGATTAATAATTTGCTCAGTTCCGATATTCTCAAATGTGCAATGAAATAAAACAGTGATAAAACATTGTGTGGGTAACCACATTTCCATTTTTTTAAAAAAAATAACTCCAGAAAATCAGCAATTGCTGGCAAAAGCTCAGTACAAATGCATGTTTTTATTTAGATTGCTGGCAGAAAAATCACAAAACCGATACTAAAGGTAAAGTAAAAAATATCATTCCATTGCACAAAAAAAAGGTAATTTTCCACTAAACATCCCTGAATATTGTCATGTGCCGTTCTCAACACTGATCTTTTGTGTCGTCAACATTTTGACCACAAATAACTTTGAGGTTGAGTTATTTTGTGATCAAAAAGTGTTGAAAGAGAACAAAACAGCCTATAGAGAGTGAGAGATTCTTAGATAGCTAAGTATAGACATATCAAAACTATGCATTCACACCCTTTGTTCGATCCCTGTAATGTATATTTACGCTGTTATAAGAACCGGAGGAAAATGCATATTTCTAACAGTGTGAAAGGAAGCTTCAGTACCAAAACTTCTGCAAACAAAATGAATCCATCCTTCGTTCGGAGGAAGGCGGTTAATTGTTTTTTTTTGTTCGGAAGCTGTTAGGAAATTGTGGGCTGACTCACTTGCTTCGTGGGGTGAGGAAGAGTCGTTTCAATAGTAGTCTTCTTTTGAAGAAAGGGACAGTAGCCGCCGTATAACCTCAACTTTGACGCAATTCCTTGTTTTCCCTCCTCTTTCAAAGTAAAGCACCACATGCAATTAAGGTGCGGTTACCGCCGCAAACAGTGACAGCCATAAGACTGTGCAGTCCCGTCATTGTCCACAGGGAGGAGCCGTTTTCATTCATCCGGAACGAAAACACTCGCCTCCACTTTATGTCAATGAAACAGGTGAAAAAAACGCTTGAAAAGGTTTCTCGCTGCAGCTGCAAAATGTTTTCTATCCATGTGAATAACGAACGGTTCATTTATTGCAAAAAATGACTAGTCTGACTACTATCTTTCAAAGTACGAACTCAAAGTCCCGGGCTTGAAATCTTAGCCGTGAGCAACAGCAACGACAACTTGCATTTATATAGCGCTCCTCACCCAGGGGAGCCTCCCAGAGCAGAGCTTCATTGGGGCCAATAGCACACAAAAGGAATGCTGCGTATCGAATACACTCACATTTTTATTAATCTTTCCCCAAGTGTTACTTCGCTGTGTTAACCAAACCGACATTCCACATCCTCGATCCACATCCAATAACTGATCACGATTCCGAACGAGGCGCAAAATAGAGCCCAATATTGCTCTACTTAAGAACCTGTTAAAATTTCTTACTCAATCTTTTCCGTGGCCTGTTGTGACTCAGTGGAGCACGGCAATCAGTTTCCTAAGCATTTTCCATTAAAAAATAGACAAACATTATGTCCTCCACATTGCAGTCTCAAAGTTTTATAGTATATATAAATCTTCTATATACGCAGTCGACTGAAGTTTACAATTCTATAACTTACAGATTTAGTTACTGGTCACTATTATATCCAAACAGCCTGGTTCATTTTTCAGCCCTTCGTGTTTAGTTCTTCAAGTGTTGACCACAAGAAATATATATTTTCTTCTTGATTCACTGATGATTAATATCTGTATAAAATATTGCTTTCCTTTGCTTTTGTTGCACAGTCACACAGCATACCCTAAAACATTTGCAGTCTCGTTTAGGTTTCTTGAAAAGGGTCCTTTTGTCCACTCCGTTAATGCACAATTATTTGCCTTATTGGACAGCGGTTAATTTTCTCATTCAATGCATAAGTTAACTAAAAATCATTTGAATAATTGTGCTGTAAGTATCTCTGCAGCCTGCAGGGCATAGGTAATACTTCTATGAATTGAATTCTATCTTTTCCCAAAACATGTCGGATTTTAACTCTGCAGAGGTGAGCAAGGGGTCTTGGTGGCTCTGTAAAATACAACAAAATACATGTTGAACATATAGCGAGCAACAAAAAATAATGAAAGCTCATTCTTTTTAATGATGCAACAACAACAACAACAACACCAACAGCAATGGCACCACTCAGGGTAGTGTTTCAGAGCGCTTAACAGTGGCAGAACCTGACTCAGAGGGAGGACGAAAATTAAGGTTTTCGGGCATGACTTGAAAAGGCGAGAAAAGAGGGGGCAAGGCGGAGAGATTGAGGGAGAGAGGGGGAGAGAGAGAGAGAGTTGGGGGGGCAAGGCAGAGGGATTGAGGGAGAGTGTCCCAGAGTTTCGGGGCGTAGCAGCTGAAAGCACGACCTCCGGTGGTGGGGCGGAGGGTGCGAGGGATGAGCAGGAGGCCGGTTAGTGCCAGTCGAGCGGAGGCACCGGCTGGGTGGTGGATTGGGGGAGTGAGGAGGTTCGGAGAGGGAGGGAGGGAGGGAGGTGCCAGGGAGTGAAGGGATTTGAGCACCAGTGTGAGGATCCTGAAGTCGATTCCATCCCAAACTGATCAGCAACGTTGGCAATCATTATCTTTATGTGTTCATAAAACACATGGCACGATTCGAAAAGACAAGGGCCACCAGTACCCCCAAATAAAATCCCCCCCATTCTCTCCATGGCTGTTTGTGAGACATTGTTGTACCCAATTGGCTGCCACGTTCACCCACAAAATACATCACTCTACAGTAGGTCTTATGAAATCCTTGGAGACGTCTCGACAACGTGATAAAGTGCCATATCAAATGCAAGGATTATTATATTATTAGCACTGTAATTGCTAATTGATAAGCTATCTCTACAACAACAACAAGATTATATTTGTATAGCGCCTTTCACGTCGGGAGGACGTCCCAGAGTACAGCTTTTCAGAGCCGAGCTGGGGTTGGCGGGGGGTAAGGGAGGGGGGTGGCTGATGGCATGGTCGAAGAGGAGGGTCTCTAATGTCAGACCGTGTCAAAGTGCTCCACGTGTTAACATTGTCAAGTGTTGTGACCGTGGTTTTGTAGGCAAGCCTGCCAGCCAGATTTCTGCACCCAAATAGAATGCATCGGAGAAGAAGAGTTACTGGATGGGTAAACGCGTCAGGCAGCCAGTGAATCTAATGCCTTGGTTTTAATCTCTCTTTAACATTGACCAGGTCCAACCCTAACTCTGTCAATCCTGTGAAATTAGTTTGTCAATAATCCTATTTCCCAGTAGGGGTCTCTCTGAGTGCATTTCGCTCCGTGACAATATTTCAAATGCCCTCGACTGCCTGTATCAAATTACAAGAATCCATCCCCTGCTGTGGTGATAGTGTAACCTCTATTCTGGGACACAGGACAGACAACTGATCCAGGGATCAGTTCAGTTGCTTTCATTATCTCAGTGTTTCCATTCCAGACCCACAGACTCCAGGAGGCCCTGAAATGTCTTTACCCCAAGAGTGCGCATTGTCTTCAATTGCTGGAATTTGACTTCAATTTGGAAATAAATCAACGTGGTATTAAAAAGAAGGTCAGAGGTACAGCTTCCGTGTTAGAGTTGAATTCAGGATTATTCCATAATTTTCCCAATCTTAAAACAGCACATGCAAGCGTATTTGTTAATATTATTGTTAAAATACTTGCCCGATTTTGCTTTGATAACCGCCCAGTCATCGTAGCTGTCCAGATGTTCCTTCAGTTTGCTGCAGATCTGCACGTTGCCGACATAGTCAAGCAGTACATCAATGATCGGCCCAGCTAATCTGCTGATTTTCGCCGTGGAAATAATTTCACAAAACTGAAAACAAGACAAAATGACAAGGAATTTGCTCTTCATCTTTCTGCACGGACAGGGGCAAAGGCTATCAAGGCACAGCTCAAGACCCTTCTATTCTTATTACTTCTATTTCAATAAAAAGAATTGAACGCTGGAAGCTTACGTGTACAATTTTAGGTGTCTTTTGCTGCTGCTGATAATCATCTGTTCTCCTCTGTTCCACTTCTGGGTGTGGGAGATTACCGTATTCACACTTAAAACAAGACTCCGCATCACAGCCCAAATCCAACAGCCACTTTAACAGCCCGAGGTACTTCATACAAAACATGATGGTGGCTGGGAAAGACGTAGGATGGGTGGGAACATAGGCGTTGATGTTGGCTCCATGGTCCAGTAGCATTTTGATTGCTTTGATGGAACCGTGGCGGATGGCGACCAGAAGGGGGGTTAGGATATCGGAGTTGGGTCTTGCCCCAGCCTTCAGCAGCATTTCTATGGCATCTATATTGTTGTTCATCACAGCGAAGTATAACACAGAGGTACGCTTGTCTTCAAAAAGCCTGGACCTCTCAGGTGACAAGGCGGCATTCACATCATAGCCAGCTTTAATCAGGTCTTCAATGATATCGTTACGGTTGTATTGAGCAGCGAGGTGAAGGGGATTAATCCCACTGCGTTTAACCCGCACTCTGCTGGTGACCGGAAGCAACAGTGCGGTAATCCTGAATGAAGAAACTCACTGTAGTTAGAAACCTACCGATAGGCTCTCAAACAGACACACATGCCACCAAAACTCCCCACACACTTCAAGACCATTTTCCCCTTGGCTTGCAGAGTCTTCGATACAGCCTCACATTGGAAGCTGATTCTTTGTAAGAACTGCATCCCTCCCTTCTAAGCACCTCCTAAGGGAGGTGACCGTAAGCACAGTCATAAAGGAAGGATTTAAGGCGGGACTTGAAAAAGGGAGAGAGGGAGCGAGGCGGAGGGATTGAGGGAGAGTGTTCCAAATTTCCAATCACTAATATGATCCAGCGCTGGAGTGATACATTACGCCCAGGAACGGTATAGAATCTTTTCGGAAGTTAACTGGCAAACTCTGCCAATGATTTACGCAGTTCTGCAAATAGAAGATCACCTGGAAACTCTTGCTTTATATATCAACCAAATATTCAACTTACAAGCATTTGAGTAGATGTTTTTCGAAAGTTTTCTTTGAACACTCAATAAGGTATTCAGGAGATCAGCAGTGTTGCTAAAGCACATCCCTTTAGATTCATATCAAGACCCTTGGAAGGTCTCATTCCCTATAATAATAATAATCCTTTGATACAGTGCCTCATCACGTCTTTGAGACGTCTCAAAGCGCTTCCCAGAATATACTGCAAAGTGAATTGACTGAATATTTTTGTGCGTGAAACACAGAAGCCAATTGCGCACAGCATGACAAGGCTTTTGAGTACTAGGTTTTCAGTAGTCAGTTGAGCTCCAAGTGATTGAAATCTATGTTGCACGTTGAACGCAAGCACTTGTGAACGCAGACGACTTACTCCAAATTGCCTTTCTGAGCCGCAACATGAATGGGCAGCCATCCGTCTTTGTTGCCTTTGTTTGCGTCAGCGCCTTGTGAGAGGAGGAACTCCACCACATCCTCATGTTCGTTCTTACAGGCTTCGTACAAGGCCGAGGCATTGTCGTTGGCTTGGGTGTTGATGTCGGCACCTTAAAAGAGTTGGTTTGCATTGCGTTAACGCACAAGACGCCGTGATCACTGGGTAGCAGAGATCTTATCATACAATAAGAGCAGACATCAACTGTTTGGGTCAAATACATTAACAAAATACCGGTGACCTCTCACTACTCCTGTCACTTGGAAGCCTGTGTACTTACCGTGCTGTGTGAGAAAGCGTAAAGAATTCAATTGCCCGCTCTGCGCTGCGACGAATAAGGCAGTGATTCCGTAGGCGTTCTTCGCTTCAACCTTGGCCCCGGCTCTGAGCAGAAGCTCGATGGCCTCTACGTGGTTTCTTATCATGGACTCGTGAAGTGCGGTCCAACCCCGATTGCACCGGTGATTGATGTCAGCATTAAACTGTATCAGGAGTCGAACAGCTTCCACGTTTTCATGTTCACAGGCTGGGAATAAACAAAGTCCCGACAGTGAAGATCTTAATCCAAATATCCCAAGTTCAATACACATGGAGTCCTGCAGCTCAGTGGTTAGAGCACTTGCCTCGCAAACGAGAGGACCTGGGTTCGATTTCCCGGGCAGGGAGAAACATTGGGCAAGTTTCCTTACTCCACACGTCTCTGCTTACACAGCAGTAAAGCAGGACCCGATTGTTAGTCGATTGGCAGATCACTTTTCCGGGTGTAATAATTTCTTCAAAATAAATTAAAATAATTTGATCACTCAATCCACAACTGTTTGTGGGACGCTGCTGGCTGGTGCGTTTCGCCCACAAAGTACATAGTGTATTCTGTGAAGCGCTTTGAGACGTCTCGAAGACGTGATAAGGCGCTGTAAGGATTAATGTAAGGATTATTATTATTATATTATTGGCTGTGAATGTACAGGCAAACCCATGTGCACCTTTTACTAAAGAATGTGTGACATTTATCTTCATTCAGCAAGCTCTATGATTTTATTTTGAATGCATATGTAGCCCCACGTGATTTAATCTAATGTAAAATACTGCTGGTCCATAATTTCTAGAAATTTCTAGCTCTGTAGTTTTAAGTAACCCTTTCCCAGAGGAGCTGTTTATACTTTTAAAGGATTTCTTTTCAACTCGTCTCATCCTGTTCCAAATCCGCTCAACCTCTTTCACAAGGTTGATAACATGAGTATCATGACTTAAAAAAAACACAGCAATAACAACTTGCATTAATATAGCACTCTTCACTCCTGACGGTGTCTTGGGAGCGCTTTCTACTTGAGTGGGGGGGGGAATGAAGTGGGTCACAGTGGGACTTGGGAGCCATTGCCTGGCAAAATCAAGTAGTTCCATAGTAATTGAATATTGCATTCAATAAGACTTGGTAGAATGCAAATAATATCAACAATAATAATCCATGCATTGGGGATGTCTTCCAGACGTCTCAAAGCGCTTCACAGAATATTGTGAAATATCCTGGATCCTACATGCAAAAGCTCTGACAGGCAGGACAGTGCTTGCCAGCCGGCTGCCAGGCTGGAAAGTTACCGTTATAGATTGGCTTTACCTTTGTAGAGTGGAGTTTCCCGTGTCTTGCTCGAGATATCACATTCGGCTCCCGCTTCCAGCAAAATGCGCATGCAATCGATGTGCCCTTTGCTGCTTGATATGAATAAAGCCGTTTCCTCTGCCAGAGTCCGACAATCTATAGTTCTGGGATAAGCTATTAGATAAAAAATAGTGTTCATTTTTTTCCAGCGAGTTTACAGATTTGGGGGCCATCATTTTTTGCCACGCCCACTGGCAAAAAGACTTAAATTGGGGTTTCCGTGTACTTAAGACGTGACTAGAAATGTCAACAACAACAACAACAACAACAAGATTCCATTTATTGAGCGCCTTTCACGTCGGGAGGACGTCCCGAGGCGCTGTACAGTTGGGTCAGGACCAGAGCATTGGGGAAATGGTCAGGGTGACGGGAGGGAAAGGAGGGAGCGAGGAGGGGGGAAATGGTCAGGGTGAGGGGAGGGAAGGGAGGGAGTGAGGAGGGGGTAGAGAGTCGAGAGGAGAGCTGAAGGCACGGTCAAAGAGAAAGGTCTTGAGACCGGCCTTGAAGGAGGAAAGGGAGGAGGCGGCGAAGGCACTGGGGGATGGATAGAGTTCCAGAGCCTCGGGGCTGAGAGGCTGAAGGCCCGGCCACCGATGGTAGGGCGGTTGGGGAGGGGGATGTGGAGCAGACCGGAGCCAGAGGAACGGAGGGTACGGGCAGGTAAGTAGGGGGATAGTAGGTCGGAGAGGTAGGAGGGAGCGAGGCCGTGAATGGCCTTGTAGGTGAGGATGAGGATCTTGAATTCGAGATCCAGTCTAAGGAAAAACATCCCGTTTTTGCCTGCCATGTGACAGCCCAGGTGAGGTCTGTAGTCAAAGATGCCGCCCGCGTGAATCGAATCCGGAAGATGACTTCAAAGGATACCATTTGTGGCTCCTCGAGTTTATCACCGTTCCACTATCTGTTTATAATGACCTAACAGAGGAGCGGCTGAAATCTGCGTAGTAATGATACAATAGGTCAACTATAACGTTTGATATTCATTGGACTGATCCCCGAGGCACTCCACATGTCACAAGAGAGACTTGGAGATTGAGCCTAATTTGAGTTAATTCTGACGGCATTCCAGCCCTGGTGTCTTCCCACATCATGATAACCCTGATTCATAAATGATTCCAGTCTCCTGCCCTCGCCTACGCTTCCTGTGGGCGCCTTGGGACGTCCTCCCGATGTGAAAGGCGCTTTATAAATGGAATTGCGTTGTTGTTGTTGTTGTCAACCCATTCCACTCCTTGATTTCCCTCCAATGTTACAGTGAAATCACCTCCTGGTGTCTGCCCTACACTTTGCCAACACCAGCCTGAACCTGTGACCTCTTGCGCTGTGTGTCGCACACGCTGCAGATACCGGAGAATGGTTCAATGTCAATGGTTCACCGCAAATCAAAATATTAAATGTCTCTTTCCCGCCCCCCAGGAGAGATAGCACACTTCAGCTCTGGCAATCAGCAACTCTCTTTATTCTGTGAGTTTCTCAGTGGCTGGAACCGGAGACTTTTGAGCGCTACTCGGTTTCCACTCGTGTCAGAAGCCCCTCCGACCCAAAACTATGTGATCGCTCCCAAAACATTATTGGATTACTTATTGGTAATATTAATAATAATTACAATCCTAATAATAATAATAAAAATGACTGTTTGTGGGGGACGCTGCTGTGCGCAATCGGCTGCCGCGTTTCGCCCACAATATACACAGTCGATTCACTTTACAGTATATCTTGCGAAGCGCTTTGAGACGTCTCGAAGGCGTGATGGAACGCTATGTCAAATGCAAGGATTATTATTATTATTTGATAATAATAATTATTTGATAATCATAATAATCATTTGATAATAATTTTGTGTGGCGAGTACACTTCAAAGCAGTTCACAGGATTTCCTGTGAAGTATAGTGAAGGCTACAGATAATTTGTACAATGTACATTTTTGTGGGAGAATTTTCTACCCTTACTAACCGACTAAGTTGCACTTACTAACCTTGGAGCAGCAACTTCAGACAGTTTACTTGATTGTAAAAGACAGCGTCGTGCAGAGGAAGCCAGCCATCTTTATTGGGTTCACAAAGTTTTCTGCCAGATTTGATCATACGGGATAAGGTTGCTTCATCCCCATTCTTTATTGCAATGACAACGGGATCAACCTCACTGAATTGAAACAACAACAAAAAATTACATTTGTATAGCGCCTTTCACGTCAAAACACAGCCAGTGGTATATATTATATATTCTACATATAGATGGGTATAAATCAAGGACATTGTAATCTTCATCAAAGTGGACATCAATAACTGGGTCTCTGCAGCAAAAAAACCCCCCCACAACATCCGAAACAATGAATAAGGTTTTAAACGGCCAGAAAAAAACACGAGAGGTTTTCATTTCCATTTTCATTTCCCCCCACGAAATATACAGTCACTACAATTTACAATGTTTTCTGTCACGCGCTTTGAGACGTCTCGAAGACATGACCAGGCACAAGATCAAATGCAAGGATCATTATTATTATCATTATTATTATTTTAAAGTGCGCTCCAAGTTGAAATGAATACTTCGCAACCTCGCCTTAGAATGCAATACATTCTCTCTCATCCCATGGGAACAGTTGCTTTGGGCTTGATGTATGGTGGAAAGAAGAGGTAAAAATAAAAGCAACTTCTGACCTGCTGGCAGCTGAATGTAGATCCATTCCCTTCCCCCCACCCACCCCAAACACCCACCCACACACAAACGCTCCTTCTCCACCTTCCAAACCAACCCGATGCCATTGATTCGGGGAAGCAGACATTGTTTTGCCGTGAAACTGAGTGCGTCACACAAAAGACATTAATTTAAAAAAACTTTTCAATGTTCCAATAGGCTGAAGGTATATAGTTTCCCTGATGGTTTAGCAGATTGGGAGGTGAGGCAATCACAGAGAGTAGATTGCCAGCTCTTTCATGTAGTGCTTTTCCTGCAGACTGTGGGATGTTTTCCTTCTCCTTTATAAAGTTCCCTTTTTTTCGTGTGGGGGGGTTAAAACCTTTGAATTAAAGGTTTGTGGTGTCAACGTTTTAGAACCACAGCGAAGGTCACTCAATCAATCCACTTTGAGACGTCTCGAAGGTGTGATAAGGCGCTATATCAAATGTAAGGATTATTATCATTATTATTATTATTACTATAGAGAGTGATGGGGAGTGCGGGAGTGCTCTTTAAAACCAAATAGTTTTTATTTACTGGCCACTTAAAACCTCATTCATTATCTCAGATGTGTGTGTATATATGTGTGTGTGTGTTTGCCTGTAGAGTGTTAGTTATTGATGATGTCCACTTTGGTGACGATTATGTATGTATATCTATATCTATACAGTATATACTTGCTTTTCGTACAGATTAATACAGCAGCTTTCGATTAAAAAAAAAATTTGATGTCTAGAATTGCTCTGCTGGATATTTCCTATTGCCAATTGACGCCAAATCAGTGTATTGGCATTTTACAGAGTGTATTATTTTTGACCTTGAAAAGAGAATTGGATAAGATGCAATAACTTGACAGGTTTCTCCCCACACGCTCTCTCTCTCTCTCTCTCTCTCTCACACACACAATTACAAGGTTGATAAGTTCATCAAGTGTTTTAGTCCAAATGACCCCACGTTTTTGCAATCGATCAATGAGAGAGAGAGAGAGAGAGAGAGGGCGGGGGGCGGGGGGGAGATAGAGAGAACACAAGAGAACACACTGGTGCTGGTGCTCAAAGCGAACAAAGACAGACTTACATGGGTTTAGGGGTTACAAAGAGACTCCCGTTGTATCTTCTGTAAGGTCTGGAGTGCGGGGTGTTTGCAGGAGGGATGTTTGCCTGGGGTGTCCTGGAGGATCGGCAGGAATAAAACAATGAGAAATACTCAGCATAAGACATCCCAGTCATTTTGATCTTCACCCCAACCTCACACACACACACACTCTCACTCACTCACACACACACACACACACAGAGCAGCTTTGCCAGGCAATTGTTGCACTGAAATGCAATGCAAACAGCATCCAGGGCTGGAAGGTCCATCTGTCTGCTGACCCGTGTGTATTTTTGGCTCGAGAAACCCAACGGAACCGTTTGACCATATAAGACAACAGAGTGGAGCTGATCCAGAAGGAAGTGGGCTTGACTTCAGTGCCAAATAACACACTGACTGGGCTCAATGCGGGGGGGGGGGGGGGGTAGAGGTAGGGGGCTGGGGATGGAGGGGAGTAAGGTAAAGGGAAGAGATGTTGGGACAAGGGATGTTGGCCACTTGCAATGGTTCCTGCAATGCCAAACTCAAGTGTATTGAAAATTTACACAGTGTAATTGTTTTATATATAGAGAAATTGGCTAACATGACAGGTATTTTATATATATATATATACACACTGAATGCACTCTACATATCACAACCGGGCAATTAGGCTTAGAGGTTCAGCCTAATTTGATTTAATTCTTCCAGTACACTGACCCTAGTGTCTTCCTGCATCAGGATAACTATACCCCCCACTCCCCCCCCACACACACATCCACCAAATTACAGCTTTGAGACATCATTAACAGTTTGCTTACAATGGTTTTCCCACTGTAATGCTGGCTAACTATCCTTGGTCCACACTAAAATTGGTCATTTGCTTTATGGCTGTCTGTGGGAGATTACCCTAACCAAATTAGTTGTCTAGTTCGCCTACAAAAACACAGTCGCTACACTTTGCCTTATATCCTGAGAAGCGTTTTGAGGTGAAAGGCACTCTTAACAAATGTAAGGGTTGTTATTACTACAAGGTGTCGCTTCTCGGTACTATTCTGAACTGACCGATAATATCGTCCTTGAAATATACACCGCCATATAGACAGCAAGTATTCCCCACACACTGTCTGACTGTTGGTTAGCACCACATTAGATGCCACATACATATCGTGTACTTCACACTACTCAGCCCCAATGCAAATATTCAGCCGAACTAACCCAATATGCTACACAGGTGAGATCAACACATACAGAGATGCAAATAGAAGAGTTAATACAGGGGTCTGGTCTGATTCTTTCAATAACAGCTGGTGGGCCCCACAGTTTTTTTTCCAGACTGGTGGGATGTATTTACTGAGGTGTTCACCTGTCTATCAGCATAGTTGTTCACGTCTCTTTGATCCAAATCTCCAGCTCAGGTTCAAACCTCTCACTGTCCAGTGCCTTGGGATGTCCTCCAGACCTGAAGGGCTCTATATAAATGCAATTTGTTGTTGTTGTTGTCGTTGTCCTGTTCCAGTTCAGTCTCTGGCTGTTGTCAGTGTGGCGGATGTATTGTGCTGAATTGCTTAAGCTCGTGCTTGTGATCTGACTCACCTGCCCTTGGGGTGAATCGCTGGACAGTTCACTGGGATCTGACGTTGGGTCCTGGGTGGGTTGTGTCCTCTTGTGCCAGGTAGCTGTCCCGAGGAAGAACATTGGGCTAAGCTTTGCTCCACTGCCATCTGAATCAACTCATCCTCACTCAGACTGCTGTACAGACTGTATTCCTCTTGACCAAGTGTGGGTCCCGAGTCCCTGGTGGAAGTAGCTCCTGTGGCCATTCTCCCACCGTCTTGGAGTCTGTGGGGAGAGATGTAACGGGTTTAACGTTTAATGTCGGTCGCGGTTCGAGAGGCTGAGGGGGAAGACGATGCTAAGAGCCAAGTCTCTGTTTAAAATAAACATTCCTGGCCATGTATGTGCAGTTCTGTTAAAAAATCTGGGAGGTTCCGGAGAAATAAACATGATCTAATTTGTCTATTACGTCCATGTGATTAATTTGGAAAGCTTAATATACGCATGTTTATTTTATTTGTTGAGCTGGAACACATTATACAAGCCAGATGTATCCAGTTAAAGAGTTTGCCACCAATACATCAGAGCTTGTTTCACCCAAATAAAATGTTGCTGTAGGAGAGGGAATTTGGCTTTGAGAGTGGGACATCTTTCCAAGTGAAGGGCACTCTACAAGTGTAATTTGTTGCTGTTGTTGTTGTGGTATAACTTAAACTCTGAATATTCTTAGGTCGCCTTCTTAGGTTATAGAACACAAACTTCCTATCCCTTCCCCTCCTCCAGACAGACAGGGAAAATAGTTGCATGGCCACACGCGCGTTGCAATCACAACCCCTCTTACCAACTCCTCCCATACACTCATAACTGTTCTACAGTCCTAGACAACCCCTCACCCCACAGGGAAACAAACAGCGGATACACCTGCACATCATCATTGCAAGATTAAAACTTGGAATATATACCGTTTGGTTCTTATAATCGCCAAACGTCTTCAGGTTTGTTACGTAGGCTGACCAGACTGTTCAATATTTTTAAATATTGTACTGTATTTAAACATTCTAGATTAAACATGCTCGGGTTCATTCTACTTAATGTCCATCTTTTTTAATTCTTCGTGACTTTCTGTGGTGAAATATTTTTACATTCTGTTTCAAATTGAGCTGTTTCAAGAGATTACTGATAGAGTTTCTGTTAAACCGAGGTCCCATCTGCCTGTCCTGGTGGATGTTAAAGATCCTGTCGTGCTATTGGAAAAGAGAAGGGACTTACTCTCTCCTGGTGTCCTGGCCAACAATCTCCAAAATAAAATTGGTTGCTGACCCCACATCTGCCGCGTTTTTGCCCACACAATGCACAGTCAATCCACAATCCCTTGAAGACGTCTCCACAATGTGATAAGGTGCTATGTCAAATGCAAGGATTATTACTATAGAACTGAAGCCGTTCTCTTTAGATCCATAAAATATGACTTTGTCTATTAAAAGTGTATTTTTAACATTATTACCCCATCTAACTCCCAATTTACAATCAATAAAATATTTGCCACTTGACAGCGAATTATGCTGTTAGCAATGCTTTAAGTTATCCAAATGTTTTTACAGATCAAAATCACTAGTTTTGAGCTCCAAAAGGTCCATAAATAATTTCAAATCCTTTTTATCTCTCGGTTTAAAAGTTTGTTATGTTTTCAATTTGACAAACTTGTTAAACTGAGGTCTCGTCTGCCTATGTCTGATGGACGTTAAAGATATTTCATGACAGTATTGAAAAAGAGAAAGGAGTTTCTCCTGGTGTCCTGGCCAGCGATCCTCCAGATAAAATGATCATTCGCTTCATGGCTGCTTGCAGAACATTGCCTTGTGTAAATTGGTTGCCATGTTCACTTGCAAATAAACAGTCGCTACAACTTTCCAACATTCCCGTGAAGATCTTTTGAGAAAATTTGACGTTGCAGTAAGGGGTTATATTAAATGCAAGGATTATTCTCATTATTATTATTATTATTATTATAAGATATCTGTGTTTCTCTAATTATCATTCTTTTTCATATTTGATGTGAAAAGGATGCAGCGTCGTGTATTCGGAAGAAGTACCGCAATTGCTTGCTTGTGGAGTAAGTCACTCAAGTGTTAGATATTTCCACTGTGAAAGGCACTTCAGAAAAAAAAATTGAGGATCAACATCCATTTTGGATCGCACCCAAGAAAAACAAGGCTCGCTGCAGCTGAAGCTAATTTTGAACACAAACACAGATAAAAAAAATCGCCCTGTGAACTGTTTTCATCCCATGGACGAATATATTGTTGCAAAAATGTCAAACCTTGCAAAACACACCGGGCCCTATTGATTTGACATTTTAAACATCCTTTTATTAATGTGACTGAAATGTGACTCCCTTCAAAGTTCATGAATTATTATTCCGTTGGTAATATTGTTTCTGGGATAGGATGTTTTGGATTATTAAACAACCACTACAGCAATTTGGATATACAAAACTAACTGGAACTGGAAATATACAATGAAACCAATGAAAAAATAACATAACCAGAGACTATATTATGTTCCTCATGCAGTACGTCCCATTGAGATGACCCCTGAAAATATTCGAATGCATATTTAAGAAATTGTATTTTCCCAGAAAACAGTTGCATTCTAAGTTAGATCACGTTCACAAGAAAATCATTTGCACTAATTGCAGTCACACCCACACAATAATCAGCAATATCGCGGGTCTTGAGTTTGATATTTCACCTAAGTGGCAATTCTGAAATCAAACCAATTCTCCAGAGAAAGGGGATTGCCTATCTTTAGCATCTTCCTAATTTGGTATAATTTGGTCTAATACATTTGCCACCGGGTTCACCAAATAGTGCTGTTGTAGGATTCTGGGATTATATGGTGGATTCTAGCAAAATGCATTGCACTATCATTTTGCTATTCATTCTTTAGAAACAGCCTAGCAAATAAGTAATGATAGAATAATTTTAATACTACTTCAATACAACAGAAAAGGGTTTTTGGTGGAACAAGTCAAATGAGTTTTAATTTCTGAATAGTTGGAGACGTACATTCCTGTTGAAACCCATGCGGAGGTGGCTAACACAGTGGAATATCAATTTCCTACCACATTGAAACTCAAAGCCTATCTTAGACGGTAATGTTAAATGCAATTAAAGGACTTTTTGATTCTGAAGCCATATCAGATGTAAATGTTGAATTTATGATTGGCCAAAATCTGCCTCCTCATCTTTCAAAACCGGAGTCAGCGAGAGAGTTGACGAGAGTTCAAAAGTAGAACATCAAGTTCCAGATTCGCTTCCTGAAGAAGGGTCTTTGAGAGGAGACAAGTGGGGATAGATTTCAAGTCCCTTTTTAATGTAAGAGTGTGTTTTCCAAGAACCCCTTTAAGTCAAGTTCTATAGAAGGTTGTTTAAGGCTGAAACATGAGCTCTGTTACAATTTGGCCTCGAAAGCTAATGTAAACAAATGCTAAATGCATTCAAAGTGTAAATCTAATGTGTAAGAATGATACAAGGTCCAAGTTCTTGGTGGAATGCCAAACCATGAATTTATTTGCATTTAACATTCATTAGCCTAGGATTTCCTGGAAGCCATCAATGGACCCATTGTAGTGGGAAGGAGCCTTCAACTAATAGCAACTTATCATCAAAAGGCAGGATGTCAAAAAAGAAACCTGCTGAGACCCCAGTGATGAATTTGACCTGATAATGGAGTAGTAGGTCTTTGTGGCAGTGAATTCAGAGGAGCATTGCCACAAAGGAGGGAAGTCTGAGAACTAGCAATTGCTGTCCGGTGTGAAAGGCGCTATATAAATGCAAGTTGTTGTTGTTGTTGAATTGCCGGACCAGCAGGTGATTCCCAAATTCTCAGTATACATAGAAATATGTAACATTTAAGTGACTTATTCTATAATTTGATCCCTCAATCCATGACTGTTTGTGGGGACACTGCTGTGCGCAATTGGCCGCCGCGTTTCACCTACAAAATACACAGTCAATTCACTTTACAGTATATTCCGTGAAGCGCTTTTGAAAACTTGATAAGGCTCTATATCAAATGCAGGGATTATTATTATTATTATCCTTTTATGGAATCGGGGAAATCACCCCCATCCCCGCCTGACTCCACTGGTTTCTCACCACACATTGAATACTTTTCAAGATCCTGGTCCTCACCTTCAAAGCCCTCCATGGTCTTGCTCCCCACTACCTCTGCGACCTCCTAACCTACCATCCTGCCCGCTCCCTCCATTCAGCGGGCTCCGTCCTGCTTCACGTTCCCTGCCTCGCTCGCCCCACCATTAGTGGGCGGGCCTTCTGCCACTCTGCCCCCACCTTCTGCAACTCCATCCCACAGTCCCTCCACCTCGCCTCCTCCCTTGCCTCCTTCAAGACCTATCTCAAGACCCTCCTCTTCGACCGTGCTTTCGATCACCCTGCTTCCCCCTCTGCCCTCCACCAGCCCCAATCCTGACCCCTAGCTCTGGTCCGAAAATCTGACTGTCCAGCGCCTTGGGATGTCCTCCCGACGTGAAAGGCTCCATACACATGTAACTTTGTTGTCATTGGAATCAGGATAGTGAAAAAGAGTTATATATCAAACTATATCGTTGGAGTACAGCAAAGAAATAGCGTCCCCATTCTCACAAGATTGCCAGGGCACCCCATGCTTTGCTGAAAAATAAACGGATAGCTGAAACACATACGGAATAGTCTGCGATATAAAGATGGCACCAGTAAGAGATTGACCAAGTACTGTATGTGGGCCTGGGACAAGGATGACCGTTCCCAGCTGGATCAGTAAATAGAACATTCCAGGTCCACAGATTCTCTCAGCTTCCTGCATCCTTGGAATTCATTCAGTTATGTTGACACTGACAACTTTGCAGCTGTTATTTGCCTGGGTTCCCACGTGCTCACTGATGTGACATTCTCTGGAAACCAATGAGAGTCACACGACACGAGCATGAGGTTGAGGTTGGAGAACATCCAGTGGCGGACTGGCTCCCCGGGAGAGCTCGGGAATGTGAGGTAAGCTAAGGGCAGCACCGATTCATGGGGTCTTTCGGTAGCCAAATCATGGGGGTAGTTGGAAAAAATTTTAATTACCCCTATCGCCAGCCCAACACTGATTAAAAATAATAATAATCCTTACGTTTGATATATAACTCTTTTTCATGTCTTCGAGACGTCTCAAAGCGCTTCACAGAATATACTGTAAAGTGAATTGACTATATATTTGTGGGCGAAACTCGGCAGCCAATTGTGCACAGCAGTGTCCCACAAACAGTCATGGATTGAGTGACCAATTTATTATTTTATTTTTTTCTTGAGGGATTATTATCAGGTGTGAAGAGTAAGGAAACTTGCCCAAAGTTTCGCCCTGCTGGGAATCGAACCCAGGTCTCTCGCTTGCGAGGCGAGTGCTCTAACCACTGAGCTACAGGACTCCACAATTATACCCCTAACAAGTCTATGTCTAACTCTATTCGATCATTGCAAGGTAAAGAAATGCTTTCCTAAGCGGGATGGATTTAAATATCGCCAAGCTACTTGTACTTTAAAATAACTGTTGTATTAAAATAAATTTACTGGTTTCACTGAGAACGTTGACAGTTTGTTGTTTTTTTTGTCATCATCATCATCATCATCGTAACACACACATACACACATAATATTGCGTTGCATAATAATTTATATAATCGCACTGAGCATTGCTAAACAAACGGCAAAAGCTTAGCCATTGCAGATGGTGGCCATTTGGACACAGTACACCGTTATATAAAATTGCACGGGTTTGGAGACATCCAATACCGATATCCCCCAGGATCTTGCAAACTAATGTCCTGGTCAACAATCCCCCAACTAAAATTGTTCGCTCACTCCATGGCCGGTTGCACAGCCAGCTGCCGCATTCGCCCACAAAATACACAGTCACTCCACTTTGCAGCATAGCCTGTGAAGCGCTTTGAGATGTCTCGATGATGTGATAAGGCGCTATATCAAATGCAAATGAATACCAAATGCAAGGAATAGTACTATTATTAGCAGTAGCATGATACAAGCTATACAATTTCAGCCCAGTTACCTCAGTGTCAATATCTGCTCCTCAGTGTGCAAACTCTGATATACAGAACTCCCCTGCAAACCCAAGTCATGATCATTGCTGATATATGTGGACAACACATACATTACCGTTTGTAACTGTTATAATGGACAGCTCAGTTGTCCACAGTCTTTTCTTGCTCCTTCCCAGGGTCCCTGATTTTCCAGTACTGTATTTTGCTCTTCCCCACTTCAACTGGGCTTTATGTGACCTCGTTGCAGTAGGTTGTGAAGCTCTATTTTAGTCCCAACCTCGTGATCATGGATGACAGGTCAGATTTTGTTGGTGCATCAACAATCTCCAAACTTCAGTGGAAGTTATATTTAACCCATGGCCAGACAGACACAGACAGGTCCACGTTCTGCATTAGTGGAAGGTCCTCGCAGGCCAGGCTTGAGTTACCCATCGCCTATTTACTGTTATACATCACTTTATCCAGTCCAGTGTAAATGGGCAACCTGTTAAAGTGATCCCAGTGCAAATAATAACATTGATCATATATTACGAGACATTTGTCCAGACAGTTAGCTTAGGTCAACTCCAAACGTGGTTAGAAAGATTCCCTCTTTCATTGAAACATATTGCAACGTTTACTTAAATGTTAGTCCTAACAAATTGTAGATCATTCGAATTGACATCAAAAAGTTGTGTGGAACCAATCATAATGATTCCCCTCTAGCTCGGGTGGCAAGAGACTCCAGACTAAGAAACAATATGATTGTAAAAATCATGGCCACATTACAGAGGGACCTGAAATCTGACCATTTAAACCCTAAACCATCAACTGGTTTATGTTGAAGTTGAGCAAATCGTAGAAATATGCAGTAGAAACGTAAATGCAAGAGGGAGAAAAAATATGGGGGGAGAAACTAGTCGATAAACGTAAGTCAGTAGACGTATTTCATAATTTCAAATAGTTTAATTTAATTAAGAATGAGAAGTGTGGGTAGCAGTGAATTGTGTTTAGATTAGTTTATCATTGCATCATTTGCACAGTACTGCCCTTCAATATATTGGTTTGCTGGTAAGATTTTACGTGTATTAAGCAATTTATTTTACGTGTGCAAACGGTCTAAACCTTTAAAACTGAGTTGAGAAAACATTTCTTCACTCAGAGGGCAGTGAATTTATGGCATTCTCTATCCCAGAAGGCTGCGGATGCTCAGTCCTTGAACTTATTCAAGACTGAGATCGATAGATTTTTAAAAACTAAAGGGATTAAAGGATATGGGGATAGGGCGGGTAAATGGAATTAGGTTAGAAGATCAGCCATGATCTTATTAAAAGGCGGGACAGGCTCGAGGGGCCGAATGGCCTACTCCTGCTCCTATTTCTTATGTTCCTATGTTCTTATGTTAAACATGTTTGCACATTTTTTATATGTAGTATTTGCAAAGGCTGACAGATGGACTATTGCCACTCATAGGGCTGTTCCCGTAGAGCTGGTTCCTATAGAGACAGCACCGTGTTTGACTCACTGTGCCACATGACCATGTGGCTGCCATACCAACAAGAAGCTTCTTATTGCATTTCTGTAGCCCCAAACACTTGTCACGGCTTTCAGTCCTAAAGCGGTTAAAGGTCCTTTGGCTTCAGTCGCCCTCCTTCAGCAGATCCTCACTTACAACCCTCCTTAAATTATCCCACATTTGTTGCTTTTGTGTTTGCTTTTTGTTGGAGATTTAAGGATGAGTGAAGGAACAGGGGATCTCAGAGTTCCAGATGATTATTACCTGCAGATCAGAAATCTAAAGAGAAATATTTTCGTCACTCAACTCGGCGACAGAAGGTAAAAGTCAACCTCTCTTTAGTTATTGGGAGGATTTTTTGTTTGCATTTGTTCATCTTTGGCGATTTACATTTGGCACCCATGCATATTTGCTGATCATTAATGAATCATCATGAAAGTTTCTAGGCTCTATAGAGAGTGATGCTGCGCTGGTTTCTTGACATCATTTCTGTGCCTTTCTCAAGTGTTGTTTTAACAATTGATTATTTTTAATATTTTAATATTTTTAACAAGTGGTTAGCCAACATTTCTGGAGTCCCAACACTTGTCATGAAAAACATATTGTAATACTGTAACGAGATTTGTATTGAAGGCAATTGGTTTTAATATTGAAAGAGAAGTTGTTTACTGTACCTGCTATTGATCTAAAATGACAGTATTTTACTCCTTTTCTCTTAAGAGATGAAGATGATGAGGACGTGAATCACATTCCAATTGTCAGACAGGTATTTAAACTTTTCCTTTCAGTGTTTAATCTGAATGGGAACCTTCTAAACGTTGGAGTTCTTAGATGAACTTATGCTTAATTCCCCTCCTTCTCAAAATGCAAAGTTGCAAAAAGACTGCAGGATCTCTGGCATCACTAGTAGCAGAACAATAATAATAATAATAATCATAATAATCATAATCTTTGCATTTGATACATTGCTTTTCAGGTTTGGAGAATGAGTTAAAACGCTTCACAGGATTTATTGTAAAGTCAGCGACTGTGCATTTTGTAGATGATTTGCACACAGTAATGTCGCACAAACAACCATGAAATGTGTGACCAATATTATCTGGGAGGGATTGCTGGCCAGGACACCGGGGGCAAATATCTTTCTCTTTTCGAATAGTGCCATGGGACCTTGAACAGGCAGCATTGCTAATAATACATCTGTATCATCAGCAAACCACTAAATTGTAAATATAGGATCATGTTTCAGGTGTAAAGGAACCCAGAGGTCAGAACCATTTGCTCAAGACCATAACATGATAGTATTTCCTCCTCTCTTCAAACACAGTAGCATAAACTACACTGAGCTTGTGGTGGTTTTACATCCCATCAAATGATTCCTTTCAGTGCAACCTTAATCTCCCCCGCTGAACACTATTCTTTCTACAGACCTTACCAACGTTTTATTCCTACGCCAATTCAGTTGCGACTCAGCTACTGTGAAGCAACAAATAAATGTCTTTGTGGGTCTCTCGCTGATTCTCCCCATTGCCTCGCCACTGCTCTCTCGCCAACATGTCCTCCCTTCAGGGCAGAGAATCCAACATGAGTATGATCCTGATTCTCCTGCTCTGCAGCACAGGGAGTTGAGGCTCCAACCTTGTTGGCAATCTATAACAATAGACATAATAATAATAATATTAATAATAATCCTTGTGTTTGATATAGCACCTTACCACGTTGTTGAGATGTCTCAAAGCACTTCACAGAATCTGCCGTAATGTATATTTTATCATATTATACTGTATACGTGTATTTTCTATATTATAGTTTCCTGAGGGAACTCCACTCTGGAGGTATATTGCTTCAGAGTGGGAAATGTTGTGAGTTGACATGACTTATTGCATTTCCAGTTACCAGAAGGAAATTGTAGTTGCGCAAATGTAATTCCTTAGGTTTAAGCAGTTATTTAAGCAGTTATTGTTGTTATTTAAGCGCTCCGAGACAATGTCTGGAGTGAAGGGCGTGTTATTAAATACAAGTTGTTGTTGGCCTTTTTAAGGAATTCAATTAGAAATCCCACCCTGTAGAGGCCAGTGTTGTCGTTGCTTTAATAAACTGCTCCACTGTTATAACCAACCAGCCTGGGTACAATGGTGAAGAGACGCAATGTTTGTGAATGATTTACAGAGGACACGTGTCAGATCCGTTCCCTCGAACGTTACCTTTTAAATTATTCCTTCACCTTGAGAAGAAAAAAGCAGGCAGTGATGCCTGTTCGCTTAGCACCTGCATTGTTTTCAGGCACTTCAGCAGCACAACGTCTAATTCAAGTAACCTTATCACTTTTTGTGCTGGTGAATTGACTTTCAGTGGGGCCTCTCCTTCCCTTTGTCATTCGGGTTGGCATCTGTTACAGCTATAAATACGCAGTGTTGCCTGGTGTCTCTTCAGTTCTGGCCTCTGTTCCCTTGTAGGATTTCGATGGGGAAAAAAACTTGTCCACATTGTCACCGCAGCTGTATCAAGCTGAGTAACAACAATACTTATTAAGTAGTGGAATTACAGAAACCAACAACAACAATTTGCATTTATATATCGCCCTTCACGCTGGTTGACGTCTCTGAGTGCTCAGAAACCACACTTAGGAGTTTAATAAACACTGAACAGTGTACGTGGAGTCCTGTAGCTCAGTGGTTAGAGCACTCGCTTTGCAAGTGAGAGACCTGAGTTCAATCCCCGGCAGGTCAGGGCCAAACCTTGGGCAAGTTTCCTTACTCCACACAGAGCCTAATAATAATCCCTCCAAAACAAAACAATAATAAATTGGACATTTTCAATCCATGACTGTTTGTGGGACATCGCTGTGCGCAATTGGCTGCCGCGTTTCGCCCACAAATATACAGTCAATTCACTTTACAGTATATTCTGTGAAGCGCTTTGGGACGTCGAGAAGACGTGAAAAGCGCTATATCAAATGCAAGGATTATTATTATTATTATTATTACTTGTCTAGTCGATGTTTGATGAACAAATGTGTAAACCGCTTGCTTTTTCTGGTGGAACATTCATTTCGGTGCTTTATAAAAATTCTGGTAAAACCCGCATAAATTGTATAATCGTTTAAGTCATGCATGCATCTGAGTCCCATTCAGTTTCTTATCAAAACCGCTTAGATTTCTTTGCACTACTCAGATTAAACATCTCTAACTTGTAACGCTTCCCTCCTTTAGTTCCTAAATTACCAGCTGCATTAAATCATGGGAAAAACGTAGTCTTGACCTGTCGCCCTGTGTGTAGACCTTCACTTCCCGCGATTTAATGCGAATCCAATGCTTGCTGATAAATGGCGTATGTGACAACTGGCAATACATTTCCCGTGACTCAATGCAGCTCCGTGAGCCCTTACCGACTGCATTGAATTATGTATGCACCGTCCAGATTACTGACTCAATCGGATTTTGTACGATTTATATAAGTTTGCTTATAACTCAGACTTCATATTAAATGTTACGGTCCCGACTGATACGAATTATGTGAGTTTTATATCTAAAATGGCCTGCTTCGATAAGTGGGGTTGCATTAAACTCTAGAAATCCCACACTGTCGAGGCCAGTGTTTTTGTTGCTTTAATAAACTGCTCCACTGTTATAACCAACCAGCCTGGGTACAGTGGTGAAGAGACGCAATGTTTGTGAACGATTAACAGAGGACACGTGGCAGACATGGAATGGTCATCGTTTAAACCATCAGGTGCATTTTCTAACCTTTTAGGCTTCTGGTGAGATTCTGGCGAGTGACCCAAAGACTTTTCAGAAGACCTTAGTGCTGAAGAAAGAAGTTGAAGTTGACCAAGTCAGTGCCGCACTTGCAGCTAAAAGGCAGGAGTTCTCTGAACGTATGGAAGCAGTTGCTAAGCGCATGGTGGAATATGAGAAAGCAGAACTGGCTGTAAGAATTTTACACAATTTTTTGCTCATTATCACCATCGACACGAGATATTTATGAATTTGTACATTAAACGTCTCCTCATTTTTGAGTAAACATAACCCTGGGCGGGGCTGTCACGAGACTGAACAAAACAGAAATGTGGAGGCTCAGATTTATACCAGACTGTGCTGAGTTAGTTAATATCCGTCAATTGACGTCCAGTTGAAGGGATTATCACCCCCGGAAAAGTGATCCGCCATTTGACTAACAACCGGTTCCTACTTACTACTAGGTAAACAGGCGTGTGGAGCGAGGAAACTTGACTAAGGTTTCACCCATGTGTCCATGGAACCATATCTCAGTAGAACAGTAAAAGGCATTAAAACGCCTTCGGGAGTGGAAGAGTGGGGGAGAGTGTGAAGCAGACAAAACTGGTGGGGTGAGGGGGAAATAAATCTGTAAATAATACTGATAATTGCAAACATTTTACTGACACTTTGACTGTTTGGAGATATTTTTCTTGGTGATGTTCTCAGAGACATGTTGTTTCACTTTGAGGTTTTACGTCTTGGCTTTTATGCAGTATCTTTCTCTTAGCTGGATATTATTCCCTCTTTACAAATGATGGAGTAACACATGTTCCTTTACTGATTCCCTGTAAAGTTACGGTATATTCTGTGAAGCGCTTTGAGACTCTCGAAGACGTGATAAGATGCTTTATCAAATACAAGGATTATTATTATTATTATTGCATGTTTATTTCTTACAATCCTTTACAGAGTAAGCAACGAGCCCTGAAGTTTGATAAGTTTCTCAAGGACAACGAGGCTAAGAGGCGACGAGCTATTCAGAAGTATCAGCTGGAAGTGAAACAAAACGAGGCAAAATCTCAGGAGTTACAGAATCTGCTTCGCCAGTTGGAAGAGCTGAAAGTCAGGTACAGAAAGTATCCTCAGAGCCTGTTCTGTTGTACGCGGTTGGAATATCATACCATTGACACTGTGACAATTTTATTGGGATCCGTTTAGTGATCCGCTCTATATTTAGTCCATCAAATGGATCCGGAAAATACAATCAGAAGAGAAAAGTCCACAAAGATACAGATAATCCACTTTAAAGTATATTTGAGACATCTTAACGAGGTGCTAAGGCGCTGGAGCAAATGCAAAGATTATTGTTATTATTATTCTCACTCAATCCACGACTGGACGCTGCTGTGCTCAATTGGCTGCCGTGTTTCACCCACGAAACATACAGTCAATTCTCTTTACCGTATATTCTGTGAAGCGCTTTGAGACGTCTCGAAGACGTGATAAGGTGCCGTATCAAATGCAAGGCTTATTATTATTATTATTATTAATGATGTGCATGTTGCCGTCCCTTTCATTCAAAGTTTATGCTTTGGAATTAAGATTTCTGCCAAACTTCTGCCATTCGCACCATTCCATGTTGAGAACCGTGTGGGAGAGACCAAAATCATCTGATGATATTCCTTTGCTGCCTTTGGGAAAAGAGTCTGGTCTAGAACCTGTTCTATAATCCAGAAATACAAGTAACTGTTCAATAGCAAATGTTGTTCTGATGTCCTACACATTGGGACGTCCTCCTGACGTGAAAGGCGCTCTACAAATTTTGTTGTTGTTGTTGTTCTTGTTGTTGTTGATGGGCTGAGTTTACCTTATTGGCCACAGGCAGCGGAAACTGCAGAAAAAGATGACACAAAATAAAATCTACGAAGAATACCTCCAGAACGCCATTGACAATATGCCAGAAGGTAAGCCCAAATCTTCTGATTTGAAAATGTTTTGACTCTGATGGAAATGGACCGAGTTCAGCCTTATCTGTTTGTGGGACATTGCTGTGCGCAATTGGCTGTTGCGTACGCCCACAAATGTACGGTCAATTCACTTTACAGTGTGTTCTGTGAAGCGCTTTGGGACGTCCTCCCGACGTGAAGGGCGCTATATCAAATGCAAGGATTATTATTATTATCTATGACTATCATACTTCAAGGAACTGACACAAAACCAGTTTCAAAATTAAGGCTGTTTTTAAGAATTTGCCAAATTCCGGTTGCTCCGAAATGCAACATTAATAGACCAATTATCACCCAACTGGAATTTTATCCTTTGTATGTGGAACCACAGTGTATGAGCCCTTAATATCACAAACAAATCTACAGCTGATATCTAGTCAAAGATTATCGCTGCACAGCTTAAATGCCAGTTTACACTGATAAACACAGTGTTAAAATATAATTTATAGATGTTTATGAGCTCGTTCATAACACCAGTAACCAGTGATAGATTGGGATTACATTATCCTGACATGAGTCATTGTAATGATTTGCTCTCTTGTGTATTTATACCAGAAATGCACTTTACTTCTTTGTTACCAGGCTGCCTTGTTTTCCAGACTACTTGGAGTACAATGCAGAATCACTGTTGCTCAGCATCATTAGAAGATACGAAACCCTGGGAGCCACCAACGAAACTCTAATCAATAACCTGAGCAGGTTGTCAGATGTGCAAGAAAAGAGCCAACATCACCTGGAAGCACTCCGGCAGGAACATGGCAACAGCAAACTTGTGCGGTTTACATAATAATCATAATAACAATCCTTGCATCTGATGCAGCGCTTTATCACATCTTTCAGACTTCTCAAAGCACTTCACAGAATACACTGTAAAGTGAATTGACTGTATATTTTGTGGGCGAGACGCGGCAGCCAATTGCGTACAGCAGCGTCCCACAAACAGCGGTGGATTGATTGAGTGACCAAATTATTATTATTGCATGACTGCAGATCTCTATTCCCATTTCGCTGCCTATTCAAGTTCCAAAATCAAATCACCCTTTGTCAATTCAGATAGTGAGTTGATAGAATTCCTGATCCAGGCAGAACATTTCTTGTGTGCAGTAGTTGCGATATTCATAAAGAAAAACGTTGCCCTTCTCTACTTGTTGTTTAAAATGTTCGTTATCAGTTTTCTTTGGTTTAACATACAGAATACTTTTTTTGGGGGCAGACGATCAACAGTGAGCTTTCACTGCTTCGAGACAAATGTGATAAAAGGAAGGAGAAGAACAGGCAGTTGGAAATGAAAATAAATCTACACGGAGGGAACTTTAGGTACAAGGTAAGACTGGAGGTAGCGGATGGGGAAAGATAATTGTACATGGCACGGCTATGGACGGAAAATGGAATGGAAGCAGAAGGAGGTTAAAGGGACAGGGGCTTAAAGTGGTCAATGCACAATATGGGGCATTCACCAAAAATAATATAATGAATATAACAATTATCCTTACATTTGATATCGCGCCTTTGAGACGTCTCAAAGCGCTTCACAGAATATACAGTAAAGTGAATTCGCTGTGTATTTTGTGGGCGAAAAAGTCAGAAGCTGTCAAGAGTTACTAAACTACACTCTCCTCTCCCCCTGACCCTGTAACTTTGTTTATTTTGGTCACATTTTGGTCAATGTGATAAATAATACGTCCTATGATATCACGTCACAAATCTTCCCCCTATTATTCTTTTTAAAGCAATAAATGAGTCAATAAGTACAGACTTTTGTGAGGCTGCTCTCGTGCATGTAAATATTTTGGTTGATGTGAGATGTGCAGATACAAAAAGTTACTCCAAAGTACGTTTTTAAACTTACAAAATGAGTTAGTTAAACTGCAGATGGAACATCAAAAGAATTGTTCTTTGCTCTCAGAGTAGGGAAATAACCTCTGGTACAGTGTAATCTCTAAATAGGCAGACAATTGTGATATTTGGGTGGAAAATAATCAGCATTTTACTATTCTTTCTCTTTGTAGAGTGAAGAACTTGGTGCTCTGCTGCTGGCGATTAATAACCTGGCTGATCAGTGCTATGTTAAACATTATGGAGCACTGAAAGAAATCAGCATTTTGGGAAAATTGGACATGATAAAGGTGTAGTTAACATGTTCTTTTCCTGGATCTCCTCAGGGCTAGGTTTACCTCTTATACAGGTATCTCCCAAGCAATAAGTGGAAAAAACATCGACGGACTTGGAACTAACAGACACCATGTGCCACGTTTCGCCCACAAAATACACAGTCATAGACATCTCGAAGTAATGATAAGGCGCTATATCAAATGCAAGGATTATTATTATTATTATAAGTGAATATTGATTGATATTAGTCTATTGTTACTGCAAGAAACCAAAGACAATAAATACAATAAACAATAAATAAAATAAAGACAATAAATACAATCTGGTTAAACACAACTTGCATTTATATAGCGCCCTTCACGTGGGGTAGTGTCCCAGAGCACTTAAATGGTAGCACTTAGAAGTTTGTGTATTATTATTGGAACTGATAACCGATGTCTTCTGTTCTCACTGACAGGAATTCATCTTGGAAAAGCGAGTTGTTACACAAATGGCAATGCAAGCTGTCGATTCTATGTTAGCAGCGGATCAAAATCACAGCAAGTCAGGAGTCTCCAACCAACTGAGGGCATCCAAACTCTCAATGGGAAATCACAACAAAACACTGAGCAGCGATCAGAGAAATAGACTAAAGCTTTCCAACAGCAAGACTCAGTGAACAACCTCAGCATTCTCATTCCAAGTGAAAAATTATTTGGTGCTTCAATTCGCTCAAAAGTTATTACAAATGTACTTCAGTCACCAAGCAATGCCAATTTAATGCTGGCCGCTTCCCATTTAAGTGTGAATGGACTGGTAGCAGACTGAGGAGTGAAATGTTCAGACAACGTAGGTTGCTCAGCATTATGATCCTAACCAAGCCAACCACAAAAAGTTGTTTGATAGAAAAACAGACACCAGGAGAAACTCACTTTTCTTTTTAACTTGGTGTTATAGGATGTTTAACCACCGCCTGAAAGGGCAGATGGGACCTTGGTTTAACTAAGAGTCAGAGCGCTTAATGTTCTTCACAAAGTATAAATCAATTCGATATCGCAAAATGAGCTCCAAAGATGAGAAATACCCAATGACGTTGAGTAAAGCAACAACAACAACAACATCTTGAATTTACACAGCGCCCGTCACACAGGGTAGCGTCCCAGAGCAGTGAATTCTGCCCTGAGCTCGCCCGCTGGCTGTCTGTTCTTGTTTAACACACAAACATACATACATACATCATAAATGTTGACCGACTAGCAATTTGGAAGAATTTTTGATCTCACTCCTTGAGTACTGCAGAGCTGCTCGGCTCAGGCTCTGGAACTGCTGAGTCTAGTGCAGAGAGAGTACTGATGGCTGCTCTCCCCTTGGCACGAACATGACCACAGGGGCTTTGCCAATCCCAGAGACACCTTTCCCCCATTGAAGGTTGACGTCTGACTCTGTCAGACACCGACTGCAACCCGGCTGGGCTTGTCTCTAGGACTTGCACCATCTCTCCTGTTGGCGAGAGTTAAACTTAAAGGCACTTAAGCGAGTATTTCCAGTTAATAGGAAAACTTTGGAAGGAACTCGCTTCTTTGCACACTTTTGATAAGCAGGACTCATAAATCCTCAATTGCATAAAGATGATTCTGGGCATGCGGCCATACATTAGTTTAGCACCATGTTCTTTTCGGGAATGTACTGTGATTTTTAAAAAAAATTTATTGCCACTATTTAAAAAAAAGCTGAAGGCTTCTCGGGCCACCCAAGAACTTTCAAAACAACCTCGGTTTTAATCTCGTCAAAGGAACCGTTTCAGTGACTGTGTCTTTCATTACATTAGAATATCATCTACCAATATTTCCAGTTCTATGCCTATAATTTTTCCCTCCCCTCCCCTTCCGCAACAAAGGTGCAGCAAAAATGCCCCATTAAATTTGAATATGTGCATTGTTGTGAGCAGAGCTTTATTTTGCCATTGATGATTATCTTCTTTATGAACATAAACCTCCGCTCCACAAGTTTGGAAGACGTAGGGCATGTTTTTCATCAGTTTGAGAGCCACAGTGAAAACAAATTCATTCTTCGCTCTTTGAACACCTCAACAGTTATCCTTTGCATTTCAGAATAATGTGACGTGCAAATATTTGAGACAGCTTTTTCTTCTCAAAACATTTCAGGGAAAAGATAAATATTTGACGTACGGTGTGCTTTGGTTATGACGGTGTTTTTTTTCCTATGTTAAAAAATCTTTCCATGTCTTCTCGTCGCCGAGACGAAGAGAGTATTACATTTCATTTTTGTTAAAGTTCCTTTGAATCTAAAGCTGATTCTTTCAGCCTGACTCAGTCACTGGAAGAAAACACGCGTAAAACTATAGTGACACATTTCTTTACAACCAGAATAGCTGCATGCCATTAAACAAAGTGCAACCAAATCTTTAAATGTGTATATCTTTTCAGCAAACTATAGGGTATTATTTTAGGCTGGCTTGCTGCTCCTCACATTTAAAACTTCATTCGATGAGCTTGGGAGTGTTATCTGAATTAGATAAATAAATTTCTGTCTCCATAGCTACAGTGAATTTGAAACTTTTCACATGTAAATCTTGTCAGGTACTAACATTTTAACCATGCACCGGATTAAGCTAAATCTTTGTAGTTCATCTCAACCCTGCTTCACAGAATAATTGTTGTGAATTTTTTTTTTATCTGTACTGTGTATTTGGAGGCAAGGCAGCCAATTTGAGAACGGAAGCATTCCATAATACACAAATATACAGTCAATTCAATTTACAGTAAAAATACTGTGAAGCGTTTTGAGACGTCTCAAGGACGTGAAAAGCGCTAAATCAAATGCAGGGATTATTATTATTGTTATTATAAACAGCCACAAAGTGAATAATCATTTTATCTTCCCTGTTTCACCACCTCATCTTAACATTTCACCATAACCACTTCTTGGAAGCGGACACAGGGAGTGTCGCTGAGCTTGAGTAAGATCGTGATTTGTCCTCCTGCTTTGGCTAATACTTTCCAGAATTAGGTAAACAGAATGTGTCCTTCCAGGGAGAGGGGGAGAGGGAGAGGGAGAGAGGGAGAGGGGGAGAGGGAGAGAACGCATTCCATTCCAACAACCTAACGCCAAGCCCCGTGAGAGAGAACAGACAGACCAGGGGAGGTCGGTCTTGAAAATCCACGCGGGTCAAATTACGTCGTCTCCTTAATATTTCAAAGTGTGCGGAATCTGTCGAACTCAGTCTTAATGTTTGAGCACTTTTTTAGCCCAAAGTCAGTCAAACCAAAGAAAGCAAAACACTAACCCCAATGTACCCCAACATTATGGCATTGCCTGGGCCCCTACTCTGGACAAGCAGCAGATTGACCCGTTCGAGTGAGAGGTTGGGTTAGTGCTTTTGAAACCGTGTGTGCGCTCGCGTGTGCGCGTACGTGTGCGTAAAAAAAAAATCTTCAAAAGGGGGAAAAAAGAACCTGTTTTGCAGCCTGTAATAACATAACAATAACAGCCCTCGCATTTGATACCGCGCCTTGTCACGTCTTCGAGACGTCTCAAAGCGCTTCGCAGGATACGCGTAAAGCGTAGTGACTGTGCATTTTGTGAGCTGGTCTGAATCAAAAATTAAACCAAATGTTGTTGTTACATGAGGCACCAGCCCAAAGCCCAGCAAAGAAACACCCACCCACACACAAAAACAAGCCCAATTGGGCGTGAAGCCGCCCAATCGGGCGTGAAGCCGCGCGATTGGGCGTGAAACCGCCCAACGTAGCTCAGACGGGTCAGGAGACCTACGCACTGCGCATGCTCCTGGCCTGGCTCAGACCCCGCCCCCCCCCCCCCCGCCCTACCCGCCCACGTGCCACACGCACCCACGGACCCCGCCCACTCCGGCCCTAACGCCGCGCTGATTGGCTGGGCTGGGAGGCGGGGGCGGGGCGGAGCGGCGGAGACGTCACTTCCTGGAGACTGACGGGAACACAAGCAGCGGGTGGACAATGTGTCAGTGTGTCCCCGGGACACGTGCCCCCCGTCCCCGGGCAGTGTGTGGGCTGGAGGCCTCCTAGCGCTGGGCACTGGGCACACAGCACAGCACAGCACTGCACAGCACACACTGGGCACTGGGGACAGATGGATGGTGCAGTAAGTCCAGAGATGTGTGCTCTCCCATCATGTGTGCTCCCCCCCCCCCCACACAGCCATCATACCCCCCCACACACACACACAGCCATCACCCCCCCCCCCACACACACACACACAGCCATCACCCCCCCCCACACAGCCATCACCCCCCCCCCACACACACACACACACACACAGCCATCACCCCCCCCCCACACACACACACAGCCATCACCCCCCCCACACACACACACACACAGCCATCACCCCCCCCCCACACAGCCATCACCCCCCCCCCCACACACACACACACAGCCATCACCCCCCCCCCACACACACACAGCCATCACCCCCCCCCCACACACACACAGCCATCACCCCCCCCCCCACACACACACAGCCATCACCCCCCCCCCACACACACAGCCATCACCCCCCCCACACACACACACACACACACACACAGCCATCATACCCCCCCCACACACACACACACACACAGCCATCACCCCCCCCCCACACACACACACACACAGCCATCACCCCCCCCCCACACACACCACACACACACACAGCCATCATACCCCCCCCCCCACACACACACACACACAGCCATCACCCCCCCCCACACAGCCATCACCCCCCCACACACACACACAGCCATCATACCCCCCCCCCACACACACACACACAGCCATCACTCCCCCCCCCCCACACAGCCATCACCCCCCCCCCCCCCACACACACAGCCATCATACCCCCCCCCACACCCACACACACACACACAGCCATCACCCCCCCCCCCCACACACAGCCATCACCCCCCCCACACCACACCCCCCCACACACACACACAGCCATCACCCCCCCCCCACACAGCCATCACCCCCCCCCCCCCACACACAGCCATCACCCCCCCCCCACACACACACACACACAGCCATCACCCCCCCCCCCACACAGCCATCACCCCCCCCCACACACAGCCATCACCCCCCCCCCACCACACACACAGCCATCATACCCCCCCCCACACACACACACAGCCATCACCCCCCCCCCCCCCCCCACACACACACACACAGCCATCACCCCCCCCCACACACACACCACACAGCCATCACCCCCCCCCACACAGCCATCACCCCCCCCACCACACACACAGCCATCACTCCCCCCCCACACAGCCATCATACCCCCCCACACACACACACAGCCATCACACACACACACACACACAGCCATCACCCCCCCCCACACAGCCATCACCCCCCCCACACACACAGCCATCACACACACACACACACACAGCCATCACCCACACACACATACACACACACACAGCCATCACCCCCCCCACACAGCCATCACCCCCCCACACCACACAGCCATCACCCCCCCCCCCACCACACACACAGCCATCACCCCCCCCACACACACACCCTCCCACACACACCCACTCCACGCACACCCCCAACACCCGCCCCAACACACACCCCCTAAGCTGCTCCCCACACACCTACACCCCTCACTAAACACCACCCAACACCTTCCCCACCACCACAAACACACACACCTTCCAGCCCCAACACCCCCCCCACCGCACACCACACACACACACACACGTACACCCCCCAACACATACACACACCCCAACACCCCCCCCTCAACACACACACAAAAATACACACTCCCAATACCACCCCCAAACACACACACCACCTGCCCTACTGCCCCCACCCCCACCCATAAGTTAGTGCCACAAACAGATATGGGAGTTTTCCTGTTTGTACATATACTGTGTATTCGTTTGTAAACAGTTTAATATCTTCATTCCTGAGTACTGATTTGCATTGGCAACACTTGCCGTGTTCCCATTTTCTTCTTTCTTAACTTTTTATTTTGTTTAAAAGTTTGGGTACGCTTCCATAGTCTCTGATAAAAGTGGAATATTGCAACTGGGAGACGAACATCCTGACGATGCCATTCACCAGCGAAAGGTGGAGGTACGACATCAGTATATCATTTCACTCTATAAACCCGTGTTTCCTAAAACGTGGCTACGGAGAACGCAGCTCGAGACGGGTCACAAGTAAGGAACGTTTCCTGGAATAGAATTGCTAACTTTTCCGCGATGAGACGAAGCTATCCGTCAGTCTGTTTGGACTCGCGCTTCCTGTTGGACAGTACGCGCACTTACTCCAACCACCCACCTGCGTCCACCACCTCCCGCTACACCTCCCGCCCACCTGCTACGGAGGCATGAATTTCCACCTAGTCTGGATTGCCCCGTAAAGCCCACAAAACATACGGTCACTACACTTTACGGTATATTCTGTGAAGCGCTTTGCGATGTCTCAACAACAACAACAACAACAACAAAGTTACATGTGTATAGCGCCTTTCATGTCGGGAGGACGTCCCAAGGCGCTGGACGATCAGTGATTTGGACCCGAGCTGGGGGTCAGGATCGGGGGAGGGTGGAGGACAGTGGGGGGGGGAAGGAGAGTGACTGATGGCACGGTCGAAGAGGAGGGTCTTGAAGATGGCGAGGGAGGGGGGGGCGAGGCGGAGGGGCTGTGGGATGGAGTTGCAGAGAATGGGGGCAGAGTGGCTGAAGGCCCGCCCGCCAACAGCGAGGCGGGGGACGTGAAGCAGAGGGGGAGAGGGCAGGTTGATTAACAACAACGCGATAAGGCGCTAGATCAAATACGAGGATTATTATTATATTACATTATTAAAAACTTGTCCTTTCCTCCTGTATCTGGGGACATTTCAATCTGTTCATTTGTTTTTGCTCTCTGTCCGGCTCTCAAAAACCTCCCGTGGGAATGCGGACAGAGTGCATCACGATCTGCTGGAGATTGTATGTTACGCCCTTTGCGGTGCTGACCGTACTTTTCCCCATAACAGCGTTGAGCTGTTCATTAAATTGCCACCTGCCGCATTCCTCACTGCAGAGGGTGCAGATCCCACTGCTCCTGAAACCACAATTGGTCCTCGTCTGAAAAAAAGGCTGGTCCAAAAATTGGCCCTATCGCAAAACAACTTTGCTTTACAAAGGTTACGCTGCCAGCATTTTTGACAGCAAATTACTGGCTTTAAGCTTTTTACGTTGGACACCGATGCTCAGCAGACAAGGACCAAGCGAACATTAGGGTTTAACATGTGTTGATTAGTAATAGGATTCCTTCATTAAGGAAACAATTAAGGCAATTGTGTCACTCTGACCTGCAGGAACTCAACGTCAATGCGTCAACACAATGTGCTTCTGGAGCGGTTTGGAGTTGATAGGTTTGATGTTTTTTTCTGTTTTCAGAAGGAGACCCCACTCAGACTTACGTTGGAAATCATCGCAAGTTTGCATCCCAGTCTTTTTAAGCGTTTTATTTCTGTAACTTTTCTGGTGAGGTTGTTTGGCAATAGGCCCGATGTTGAAACCAACCTTCTTCATATTCCAAACCAAGACCTCTGTGGTTTTATTTTGAAGGATCTCAGTAAAAGGTACGCCTGCTTCCGAAGAACCCTTGGTGACGGCAACTGCTTTTACCGAGCCCTGAGCTTCGCGTACCTGGAGGCGCTACTTGGAAATAGCAAGGGAGTGCAAAAGTAAGTTTGAGATTCAGTTCCCGTTGCTTCCCGTGGAGTCCTGTAGCTCAGTGGTTAGAGCACTCGCCTCGCAAGCGAGAGACCTGGGTTCAGTTCCAGGCAGAGGGCGAAACCTTGGGCAAGTTTCCTTACTCCACACAGAGCCTAATAATAACCCCTCCACAAAACAATAATAAATTGGTCATTTTCAATCCACGACTGTTTGTGGGACATTGCTGTGTGCAATTGGCTGCCGCGTTATCCCACAAATATACAGTCAATTCACTTTACAGTGTGTTCTGTGAAGCGCTTTGAGACGTCGATAAGACGTGGAAGGATTATTATTATTATCACCTACAAAATGCGCAATTGGCTGCTGCGTTTTGCCCACAAAATATAATCACTCCACTTTACATTATATTCTGTGAAGCGCTTTGAGATGCCTCAGCCATGTGATAAGGCACTGTATCGAATGCAAGGATTATTATCTATTATTATCTATTATTTATGTGGGGTACAGTTGCAACAAATCAACACTATACAGTAAATTTCTGTGATGCACGTTGGTTGAGATGTGGCATTATATTTAATGTAACTATTAATAATAATAAGATGTTGGTTACAAGATAGTAGCACAGAAATTCAGGTCGTTTTGAGGCATTTGGTTACTCAATTCACGACCGTTCGAGGGACGCTGCTGTGCGCAATTGGCTGTCGTGTTTCACCCACAAGATATATAGTCAATTCACTACAGTATATTCTGTGAAGTGCTTGAGACGTCTCAAACGTGTCATAAGGTGTTATATCAAAATGCAACGGTGATTATTATTTCAGCATAAGTCACTAAAGAATGCAAGTTCTTTCTTTGATTTTGCTGAATGGCATCTTGAAGAAATTTCAGATGAATCCCGTTGAATTTTTTTGCACCTTAAGATTGACACGTACCCGTGTTATTAAATCTATTAAAATAACCGTCAGCAATGTTCCTAAGATGGACTTTCTCTTCATTTTAGACTTAGAAAGATTTTAATGCGAAGCAAAGGCGAACTTTTATCTATGGGATTTATCGAGAGCACATTTGAGAATGCTTTCAACACAGTAAGTATTTTTGTCAATTGTTTTATGTAAAGATTTTTAAGTCCAAATCATTGAGTTGTAACATGACAGAAGGGGTAATAAAATGAGCTGCATGATACAAAAAAAATCTTCCCTTTGCAACCTTATGCAAGATCATAATAGACCTGCCACATTGTACCAATGAAAATGTTTAATTGGAAGAATACAGGTAGAGTGAAAGACTAGAAAAAGATACTGATCAAAGGCAGTTAAGTTGGAACCGTTAAGTCGACGGCAAATCACTTTTCTGGGGGTAATAATCCACGACTGTTTACGGGACGATCAATTTTGCCCACAAAATATAGTCAACTCATTTTACAGTATATTCTGTGAAATGCTTTGAGACGTCTCGAAGACGTGATAAGGGTTATATCAAATGCAAGGATTATTATTATTAATATAAGTAAACTAACCCTATTTCCATTTTCAGATTGTGATACTGAGCTTCAGTTATAGTGAATGTTACAGGGAAGGAAGGTACAGTTTTGTTTTCTGGTTCTAGTTTATGGATGTGATTGACCTGGTGGAGGCAGATGTTTCGGGTGCAAAACTCCTGGCCGTTTTCAACGATCGCAATACCTCAGATTGTTTAGTGCTGTATCTTCGACTGTTGACATCTGCGTACTTGCAGAAGAAGTCCGAGTTCTTTGAGTACTTCCTTGAGGGAGGAATGAGCATTAAAGACTTCTGTACCCAGGTAAGTAATAAGATAGTTATATTGATCATTTCATTTCTTTAGCATAGTTTATTTTGCCTTGACATACGACTCGTGTCTTTTGGGTTTGTAAATTGGTGACACTGGTAACATTGGTACCGAAGTGTTAATGTTCTGGCTGTGAGTGTTTCAGTTCTGATTGGAGTGGATGTTGTATGTGAGTTGGCAGCTTGGCTTGGTTGTCAGCGCTGCCACCTTTTGGTCAGAAAATTGTGAGTTCTTCTTTTGATGCTCTATCTCTCGCTTTCAAGGAACTCCTGTCGAGTATTTAAGTAAAACCGTGGCGTTACTTTTCTCTCGACAGGAAGTGGAGCCAATGGCCATGGAGAGTGACCACATTCACATCACTGCACTAACCCAAGCCCTGAACATACCAATCCAAGTAGAATACATGGACAAATCGAACACTGCTGTTAATCACCACATCTTCCCGGAAGGCTCGAAACCCTTGGTGTATCTACTTTACAAACCAGGGCATTACGACATACTTTACAAAGCAAACAAGTCCAAATAGTCCTGTGAATCTGCTTTCGAAAGACCATAAACACTTTCAGCGTCAGTGCTTTTTTTCCTGTAATCTTTGATGGCACGTGAGCCAAAACGTAAAGCCTCAGCACAATTAACTTTTGAAACTACCTCCCTCTACAGCATAATATGGATGTATATTACCAATGAAAAGGGAGTGAATTCAATATTGCCTGTTCTGTGTTTTTTTTGTTGAAAAAACTACCTGTCCAAGCTTTGCAGATAAAAGCAGTGCATTTCCTCCAGTAGAGACTTGCAGAGCAGGTTTAAGTTTACAATGTATGAAATCTCTTATGAAATCAATTAATGCTATTTCTTGCTAACTTTTGAGCAGGAGATTTACGTTAACCTTCGTAGGAGACTTAGCTTTTAAAGCAGTAGTGGCCAACCTTTCGTCGGTCAACCAAATACATTTTTCTTGTTTGAATATTTCTTGATTCATGGCCAAACCACAAATATCCAGGTAGCTCAGTAGCTCCTGGAAACAAAATACTGATCCAACACACTTACCTGGACTAGTGCGAATGTTCGACGAGACACTTTTAGCCCACAGGCCATGGATTGGCCAACACCGTCTTAAAAGAGACCAGAACGGCAGCTGCTTTGAGCAGCTCAACTCGTTAAAACCAAGTTGATGTTCTAGATATTGCTGTAGCTCCTATCCGTCATGTTCCTGCTCCAGATTTCACAACAAAACTACAACCTGCACTTTTTCGTCAATTAGAGAAGTGTACTTAAGTCTCCTGTTGCCGTTTCTAAGTTGTCTTGCAATAGTACAGTGCTTTGCTCAAGCCTCAGGCAGGGCTGCTGCTCAGCGTAAAGGTGGAAGATCTCAAATCAATTAAATACAACAACTTCAAAATGTTGTCTAACATTGTTGAGGCTTTAGTTTAAAACTCTGGGCGTACCGGAATTTTAATTTGAGATGTGGCCGGGCTTGCCTTAAAAAGTATGCTTTTTTGATTTCAAATAGTGCATTAAAAAGTCACTATCCCACTGAAAACTGACCCATCTCTCAGTGCGTTGTCTATGATCACGGTAGTTCTTTGGAAGCTCGTGCGTCTTTATGGTGATCTCTCTGTTGTGTTTGATGCTGGTTTTGAAAAGAAAATATTGCCGTTTCCAAGTTGTCTCACAATAGTTCAGTGCTTTGCCGAAGCCTCAGGCAGGGCTGCTGCTCAGCAGATATCAATCAATTAAATACAACTTTAAAAAATGTCTTAAAAGACACCAACAGCTTCAAAATTACATCTGTATTCAAAAATGTGCTAACTTCTGGTTGCTCAAATACCAGAGATATGTTCAAGCACAAAACAGGAAGATTCTCCTGTTAGCCAGCCTGATCAGTAATCCTCCAGATCTAAACTGGGTTATTTATTTCATGTCTCTTTATGGGACATTGCTGTGTGGAAATTAACTGCTGCATTGACCTACAAATCCAGTCACTACACTTAATGGCTGTGAAGCACATTGAGCCATTTCAATGTGATAAGGTGCTGTATCAACTGCAGGGATTATTAATGGTAAGTTAAATTGCCGGCAGTCTTACCCTAAGCGAGATGATAACTGTGCTAGCAGAAATTCAAACCCACTAACGTACATTCCCCCCAAAACTAAACTTCCAACTGGGTTCACCGCATTACTTCTATTTTATATTTTACATTTCAAAACATTTCATCTACCATTCCTCCAGTTCCCACCATCCACTGTGGAAGCGCTTTTTTAAAAACAAATTTTCCTTGTTTTAAAAATGTATTTTGCATTAAGTACAAACCTAAAACTTAATGATGACCAGGGCCACATTACAGACACTGCCAAGTTAATCAAGTTTGAGAATAGTTCTTGGTGGTCATTCAAAAAATGTCAGTGCTTGAAACTTATCTGCCATATTCAATGGGTTAATGCTGTCCCACTTTCCACATGGTATTGCACAGAATACGAGGTAGATTAACTCACGCTAACTATTTTTAGTGCACTGTAAAGTGGTACGTCTAGATCTAGTAGCCAAACTGCATTGAATTTATAACTTTTAATAGGATTCATTTTGTGTTCTTTCTCACAACCTGTATCCTCTACTGTACTCTCAGTCCTACTTTAATCAAACAGTTAATGCTCAGCTATTTCACCTTTGAAGAAAAACACTGTTTTAAGTGGTTTTTTTTTATTAAACGAAATAAATGGGGTATTCACTTGTGGCCATTTGCTATGTCACAACAGTTGTGTACATCATCTTTACAAGTTCACTCAGCATTTTGCTTTTTTATGCAATGGCTGCTTTTTTTTATGTTTTATGATTGTGCTTAAAGCGGATTCTTGGGTGGCCACTGGTAAATCAGGCAATATTAACCTGCCCATTTGTGTTGGGTACCTAGTCATCAGGCAGTTTTTGAACACAGGCTGTGAGAGCATATGTTTTAGTTCTTTCTTCATTCCTTTCAACATCCTTTGTCTCTGCTTTTCATCAGCTTCGTCATGCTTCCCACCTAAACACAAAGCCATAATTAGTTTGCTATGAAACACTTCCATGAAGTTGACTGATGTTGATACATATTCCCTTTAGCTGCGTTTAGTGGATCCCAATCACTTAAATGTGTTCAAAGCAATTAGACTGAGTAATTGGTTTGAGTAATTTTTTTTCAGTATTTCATCAGGTCAAGTATTTTCAGTGTCTCAGGGGCTTAGAAAATAGTTATCTGAGACTAGAGAAAACATCCATTTATAATGTACTGTCACCAATTATGCACTTGTTCCTTACACCAAAGGGATGGATGACACTTGTACAAAACACCTTTAGCAATGCTTCCATCCAACTTTTAAACTTCTTACTAAAGTAGAGCATGAGATATTTCAACCGGCAGGAAGGATACTGACCCATTAGGACGTCATCATCCAAATCCACCTCCAGAGCTTCGGCAGCTTGCTGGAACCAGCTGTTGTGCTGCTGTGCCTTGTTGTACTGGTATTCCATCTTCTCTATGCTCCTGGCAGTATTGACACGGGCCTGGGAACAACAAATTGTGAGGCATTTTCATTCGACCATCAATTCTATGCAGGTTCACTTTTCAAATTAAAAATGTTTTAATGATTTCAAAATCTGCTGAAGAAACTCGTCACTGTTTGTGATTCCTTTTAAAAANTAAAATGAACACAACTTGTTTTTTTTTCTTCTCCCATTTGTTAGTGGCAGGAGGAGTGAGTGCTACCAGGGCAAATTCAGCAGTTGAGAGTTACTGAGACAGTGAGCGTGAGGGGGTTGGAGCAACGAGCTTGATGGTTACTGTGCTGAGTTCAGCCCCCTCACTGACTCACCGGAGCCCGAGCCTGAGGGGGAGCAGCGGGACACACACCCTCACACAGAGAGTCACACACACCCTCACACACACACACACACACACACACACAGAGCGGGGAGACCAGCCCCAGCCACACACCCTCACACAGAGAGTCACACACACACACACACACACAGACGTGTGTCGAAAAGAGAGGAGAGGAGAGACGAGGCTTAGAAAATAGAGCAGAGTTGACAGCCCTCCCCACCCCCCCCACCCCCCCCCACACACACACCCACACACTCCCCCACACACACACCCACACACACACACACACACACCCCCCCCCACACACACACACACCCACACACTCCCCCACACACACACCCACACACACACACACACACACTCCCCCCCACACACACCCACACCCACACACTCCCCCACCCACACACACACCCACACCCCCCCCCCACACCCCCCCCCACACACACACACACCCCCACACTCCCCCCCCCACCCCCCACACCCCCACACACACCCACACCCCCCCCCACACCTCCCCCCCCCCCACACACACACACCCACACACACACTCCCACCCCCACACCTCCACCCCCCCCCCCCCCCACCCCCCCCCCCCCCCCCCCCCCCCCCACAGACACCGGGAGAGAAGGAGAGGCCATGTCCCCGGCCAGGCGCTGAGCCCCCCCCCCCTGTGTGTGTGTGTGTGTGTCACTGGGGCTGAGGGCGGCCTCACAGCCTCGAGCAGCCGCCGAGAGCCACACCATGGACTTCAGTCAGGAGGGGCTGTTCGGACAAATAGAGGATCTGCAGGAGCTCAGCTTCATCGAGAGACCCGTGCGCCGGTACCTGAAGGTGGGCAGCCTGGTCTGTGTGTACATGTGTACATGTGTGTCTGTGTACATGTGTGTGTGTCTACATTTGTATCTATGTATTGTATATGTGTGTGTCTGTGTACGTGTGTATATGTATGTGACGTGTGTATATGTATGTGTGTGAATATGTGTGTATGTGTGTTTATACATGTATGTGTATATGTATACATGTGTATGTATGTATATGTATGCATGTATGTATGTATTTATGTGTGTACATGTGTATATGTGTGTGTATGTATGTATACATGTGTGTATGTGTGTATATGTGTGTGTGTGTACATGTGTGTTTGTTTGTATATGTGTATGTATGTGTAGATGTGTGTTTATGTATATGTGTATGTCTGTATGTGTGTATATGTGCGTGTTTCTGTGTACACATATACATGTGTGTAATAATAATAATAAACCTGGCATTTGATATAGCGCCTTATCACGTCTTCAAGACGTCTCAAAGCGCTTCACAGGATACACTGTAAAGTGTAGTGACTGTATATGTTTTGTGGGTGAAATACACGTGTGTGTAGATGTATATATGTGTGTGTGAGTGCGTTTAAAATAAGAAAACCCACGACAACAACTAACTTGAACGATTGTTGTGTATTTTATTGTTATTCAAGTTGTAACTGAGACCGGCAGAGTCCAGATATACATATGTACTGTCGTCAAATGGATCCCCGATTCCTGCCGCCACGCGTGAAAATCGTTCGATTATCAGTTTAACAAGCACTTAGCTTTTATATTGATATTGCCCATTATTGCTAGTAAAAAAAACTAACAGATTTTTTTCTGTGGGGGGCAGAAGGTGGGAGTACATGTAACTACAGTGTATATATATAAATATATATATACCTGGTCTCAGTTACACCTGGAAAAATAATAAATGTAAATTACGCAAGCTATTAATGCAAGAAATAATAGGAAAAATCTCTAATATCATTGCTAAGCAAAATGTTATTCCACTCCTCTCTCTCGGTTTCTCTGATGAAATAATATACGCATTTATTGTGCTGATTATATTGTAGGTTGATTTACGTGCTGGTTATTGTTAGCCCCGCCCCCTCCCTGATGGGTTAAATCTGGATTTTTTAATATATAATGTAGAGCACTATCGTTTTAATTCTTTGTAATTCATCATCTAATCACATTGCAATGGTAATAATCAAGGCAACAGGGATCTCAAACTGATTGCTTCAGTTCTCTGTCTTTATATAAAACAAATCTCTGTCCTATGAATAATGCTGGGTAGCTGCCAATGAATTAAAAGACAGTAATCTAATATTGAGGTGCTGAACACTTGAAGCTTTGAGCTTCTCTGTCGCAGTTTATGCTATCTGACCCTTCTCCATTGAATTGACGTCTTATGATTCAGTGATAGTCAACCGGTTAAACTTAACTACTCCATCTTTACTCTGTTTTCTTTGCATTTAAAGACACCAGAAGAGATAGAAAGACTGACAGTCGACGAAGAGCTCAATGATATCGAAAGGGCTGTATATCTACTCAGGTAGGCAATGAATAACAATTTCCTAACATTCACGTAGGAGGTGCACAGTCGAACTGCACAGTACTGGTTGCAACCTGTTTGGAAGGTACACTATTTTCAACATGGACTATTCTCAAGTTGCAATTGTAATAATTTTGGTCAAATGTACAGTTGTACTGATGTATTTGCAGATTGTTCGATTGAGCTTTATGCTTTGATCCAACTATTCTATAGCTTCGCCACAAACTGACTATTTAGTACCAATTTGATGACTTTTGCAGGTTTCAAATGGCTGTGGTTTACTGAGAATTCATTTTTGTCTACAATATAATTCATGCCTCCAAGGTAGCGACGAAATGCATGCAATGGTTTTAAAATGAAAACTCCACTGGAAAATATGTGTTGGAGCACCTCTCCTAAGTCATGAATGCCTTTAGAAGAACATGTGTGTGGATCTACTGGATATGCAGTACAGTCGATGCATTGAACATTAATTTACTGTAATATTCATATTGGCAATGAGTTAATAGGATATTTCCATCATTTTAGTTGCTTTATTATTTTATTTGTCTTGTTCTAGCTTCATAGAATCTTAGAATGCTTATCTCTAATCTGTCCATGTTCAGGCTAGGTCTCCCATTGCTGCTCTCCACTCCAAATCAATTTTCCCGCAACCTCCCGTACCCTTTAAAACACATTTTTCTTTCAGGATTTATTGAACTCCCTTTGAAATGTTTTTAATGACTTGGCTTGGTGCCCTCCTGTGGGAGGATAAACCATTTTGTGTTGTTTGATCCTGCTTGATAAGTGCATCAACAGGAGCCATGAATGATTGGCGGGATTGGTGATTTGTTTGTGTATACATCATGTGTTTTCCCATCCCTACATAGAATCCTGCATTACCTCTAGGCACCTTCACCAGAAACTGACACGAGGATCACTGAACTTGTCAACAGAAGTTTAGTTGAGTTTGGGTGACAGTTGAAACTTGGATTTGAATCTGAGTTTGAATTCCAGTACTCCACTCCCAGGATTTACCAGATGGTACTGGTCTTTTGATCTTCATGGCTTATCTAATGAAAAATAATTTCCCCTCCTATTTGAAAGGTAAATCTTCTCTCAATCGCTGTTACGTAATAGTAAAATAATAATCCTTGCAGTTAACACAGCGACATCGTCAAGATGTCTAAGGGTGTTACCATTCTTCGGGCTTTATTACCCCTGTCGTTTTACTATTGTTAGGAAGGAGATGCATCATGGTGCCTAGGGTGTGATTCATTTATATTTATATTGTCTTTAGGGGCCAGGGTTTAACCTTTGCTTGATCTTGAAGGTGAGGTAATCAGGAAATCGCCCTGATTGGCATCCCTATAGTATCCATTTCACACACTTGTATCAGTTGATGAATATTGTTTATTTACAAAACAAGGCAAATATTAGTTATAAACAATGCAAGAAATCTCTTTTTACTGATGCTTTTGTTATGATTACTTACCGTATTTGTCTGTTTCAGTGGTATTTGATTTTTATCGTCACTTGCCCACGCACAGGGCTTCATATGTAGTCTTCAGTCCAATGCCAATGAGATGAGATTAAGAACTTTTTAAGTTTGATTTCGTCGAGTGAATTATTTGTGAATTATTAGACAGCCTGGCCCCAAACTGGGTTATTGGCCGTATGCAAATTTTTTTAATAAAGATTAATTCTTTTGACTTTCCAGACTCTTTTCAGCAACTGTTATTGTCTTGATCTGGTTCTTACTCCTGGAAGCTATAAATTGCACAGTGGCCATAAAACTTGTTGGCATGTTTTTTGTGAGCTCACAATGCACAAAGAATCAGCCCCATCTCATGCTTATTTGCGCAATTGATATATTTGCTGTTCTTGTTTTGAACTCGTAGGATTGTTGACATTCATTAATTACAGTCGCTGATGGTATTGCATCAACCTGGAAATGATCTATGAGCAGTTAGTTTCTCTGGTGACGCACATCTATTTATAGCAGTGAGAACCTGAACCTCACATCCAGCCTTTTCGGCAATCTCCGGCTTTACCTCCTCTCTCCCCCCCTCTGTAACTGCCTTAAGAAGTACCCAATGCCATTTCTGCTCCTCCTCCACAAATAAGATCTTTGTAGATACTCACTCAGTCAGTGATCTCTAGAGGGTTTGTAAGCTTCTGTTCTGGCTCACTTTTAGCTTTATTCTCTGCAGTTTAATATCTCCTCCAATTAGTTCAAACTTTTCTAGGGAATTGATTTTACCAGCAAAATGCAGCCAAAGTATTTAGCGACTGTTCTCATGTAAGCTTGATTAACATGTTGCTGAAGGGGTGAAGCGCAAAGCTCATGAACAACAGCTTCTACGCTTAACATTGGGAGTACTTAATTACTGTCGTAAACGAAGATCCCTAAATGTTTTAACTTAATGACAGTTGAGAAAATACTTAATTCACCATCTTAGCTAGAAAGGTTTCATAGACTGAGTTTGCCACTTATGTAACCGTGCAACTACTACTGATTTACCACTTACACGGGCTTCCTGAGTACTTTGTACGTGCAAGTAAAGTAGTGTTGCTATCAAGCATGGTGTGATAGTAATCACTATGTATTTTATGCAGCAAGCCTGACGTGCAGAATAATAGTCTGCAGCGCGTTGCAAGGCAACTCATCTCAGTTAGGGTTATATAATGAGTCACCGAGTGGAGTGTGCTGATGGGCAAACACAATATTGCTTCCTGTTTGATATTGTTTTGGCTGGTGAGCATGGGATATTAGCCGATAGCAACGGGTATTTGAACATAACAGTGATATATAATAATAATAACCCTTGCATTTGATATAGAGCCTTATCACGTCGTTGAGATGCCTCAAAGCATCTCGCAGAATATACCTTATATTTTTGTGGGCAAAGCGCAGCAACCAATTGCACACAGCAGTGTCGCACAAACAGTCTTACTTATTATTATTATTTATTTTTTGGAGGGATTATTAGCCTTGGAAAGCGATCTGCCAATCAACAAGCGTTCCTATTCACTGCGAGGTAAACAGAGGCGTGCGTGTGGAGCAAGGAAACCTGCCTAAGATTTCACACGGGAATCGGGGTAGAGGGATAATATGTTATGTTAGGGACAGCTTGCTATTTTGTACTGAGTAGAGCAGGTATGATGACTAGTGGTAGTAACTTACAAGGTAGTAACACAACAGTGTTCACATGACGGCAGAAACCATAAGCGGGAAGTGTGACCAGTTTACAAATGAGATGCACTCAACCTTTAAATTACAACCTTAGCTGTGTTTCCCACTTTGTAAAATTAATGCTGACCTTTTGCAAGTTTTGTTGGAAGTTTTATTATCAGAATTTTTACCTTCTGCTGACATTGGTCACATTGCTTCTCTAGCCACTGCATCATCTGATAGTAAGAAGGGATTTGGGTTCTCCGATGGCTGATTCTGTAATAATAATGATATATAATGATAATAATCCTTGCATTTGATATAGCGCCTTATCATGTCTTTGATACGGCTCAAAGCGCTTCACAGAATACACATTATGTGATGTGTTAACTGAACCACACAAACAAAGTCCAATTGTCTACTCTTTGTTCCATTTACTAGTCTGAGCTAAGTGGAAACAGGGGCATTAGACATTTCCCTGCCCAATTGATGAAGCCGTTGTATTTATTTGTGTACCAAATGGTGTGAGGGAAATAAGGCAGAACATTTTTATGTTTTTCCCATTCTAAAATAAATTTAAACACTTTTGAACATAAAATTGCATAAAAAATGAATTAATTTGGTGAAGCTCCTTCTCTAAGTCTCTGCTAACAAAGGGAAATAGTGCCTCAGTTTAAAATATCTTTCTATAAATCGTTGCAGTCCTTCTTCTGATTCCTTCGTCTCATTCTAATTCCTCACCAAGGTGTCAGTTTGGAGTATGCACTCCAATGCCACATGGATTGAACGTATACTTGAGAGCACAAACTGGTCCAACTGACATTAATGATATCCCTTCAATGAACCCTGTGCTGATGTTTTTATTTACTTTTGAGAAGTGGAGCAAATGCACTCTTTTGCAGTCTATTCTCCTTCTTTAAATGGTACATTAAACAAGGTCATATACTGTACACAATCTCTTCGATGGTAGCACAAAACACAATTTGTATCTTACCAGTGGCCCAGGTGGTGAATTTGGTAAATTGTTAAGTGTGTAAAGTGAATTCAGATCATTCAGTGATGAATGATCTTTAGTGCCACACAAAACGGTGGACACGGCATCACAAACCATTCTCTCAAAACTGAACAACTGTCGGTGATCAGCCTTTAGATGGTTTGGATAGACATCAACCGCCGACTCACCATTAATTGGAACATTTGAATATAATTGTTAAACGCATTAATATCTGATGGCTTTATGACTTTATCTGAATAGAGTGCTTGCTGTTCATGTCGAATGTAACCATGAGTTAAAAGGTTAAGTGTCTGCACATTTTTTTTCTGTAACTTAATGGGTTCTTTGCTTGCACATTTATTGAAAGCGTCTTGCATCAAAATCCCAAACCCATTACTTCTCTGCACGTGTTGATGCTACTGTAAGAATTATGTAGGATCACATTGAGTTTAATGCAGGACTTCCAAACCCTGGGACTCATACGATAAACCATATGATAATACATTGCCATTTTAAGTCATTTTTTTGAAAAAATTAAATATATTTGAGAGCAGGTGTAAACCTTCTGAAATCCATTTTGCTTTTAAACATGAAATCCTGAGTAGTTCCAGGGGTTGACAGAATTCAAATAGGTTGTCGCCTCCTTTCTCACTGGTTTATCTTAATCCCAGGGTACATTACTAATAGCGTACAGAACTGGTAGCTACTTAACTGTTTATTAATGTTGTGTTGAATGAGAATTAATTAGGTTAGGTAGTAACCGAGAACATATATCAGTGCTTAGTAGTTCGTACATGGAACATATATCAATATGAGACCATAAAGTCAATTGTAATTCAGTTTATCTATCATCACTGTGACTGTTCCAATTTTAAACATCTTAGCAGCAATAAGAATGACCCACTCTTATCTTTGCAGACAGGTGTTCTAGTGCAATACCATCCCTTTGGATGTTTATTCTGTCTTTCATAAGTTTTATTGATTGATGTTATTAACAAGAGATGTTTGGCTGAAAGGGCCCCTCAGCCTATTTAATCTTATCCTGCCAGAACACCACTCATACTACACAAAAACAACAACAAAAAATTACACTCGTATAGTGCCCTACACATCGGGAGGACGTCCATCTTCTCATTACAGCCTCGAGTGCTTCCTTAAATGAATCCAGGGTCTTTGTTTCAACCCTCTTTCTTGGCAATCAATTCCTTCTGTAAATTGCCCGCTGCGTAAAGAAATACTTCCTGGTGTCTGTCTAAAAGTTGCCTACAGCAAATAATTGTTTGTATAAAATTAATTTGATAATCTTTAATATTTGTACCATGTTCAGTGCAGTATAAGTTTTCTTCAGTCACAATTTTAAATAAGGCAGCAAAATATAGATCAATATAATTTAGAAAAGTAGTTTGAAACTACACTGGTGTTTCTTAGCGGGATTCCTTAATTGTCGTCGACACACAGAGACGTCAGAGTGGAGTTCCTGCAGGTTGGCGTGATATTCATCTGGTTACTCTTTATGCAAAGAAAAACTGCAATAGACCCCATTAATTAAATTGATGCCATAAAGAAATCAGATTTCCTGCTTGTGAAGGAAAGGTATCAGAGGGTATGAGGAAAGCGCTCTGAGACGCCGTCCGACGTGGAGGGCACTATATAAATCCAAGTTGTTGTTGTTGTTGTTGAAAGAGCAGTGAATTGGGATTAGGGTAGAAAAGCTTAATTGGAGGTGGAAACATTGGCGCTAATGCGGGTTGAATGTCCTCCTGCTGTGTGGTAGATTTCTGTGGTTGTGAACTCCCCAGAGACTTGTGTAACTGATCTAGATTTGCCTTGGCAGAATCTTGCAATCCACTAGTTGAGATCTAAAACTGATAGTTTAGTTAAGATTCAGGGCTCATCTTTAAGTAATATAGTTGCCCTATATACTATAGGAAGTGCAGAGTGGGAATGTTTATATATATATATTATATATATATGAATGCGGGAGATGCAGTGTAGCAGAAAGTATCCCATTGTATCCAGTGTACGTCTGGGAATGCTACATTGTCAGACATTACACTCCGTGTGAAATGATGCTAAACCTATGTCTAGTCTGACTGCTCTTCAGATGAACAGTAAAGATCCGGTAACACTACAAAAAGAGAGGGACAAGGCATAAGTACTTGCGAACGCACAGGGGAATGAATGGATAGAAAATTGGAGGCCAAAAATAAATTATTGTAAAATCAATACAATTGTCGAGTTAGCATTTCAAATGGACAGCGGAGTCAGCGGAGTCAATGAGGTGATGAATCTTGATCGGGACCAGCCATCACAATTTGTAACGCCTGGCGCCATAAACAAAGCAAACTTTAAAATGCGATTCCTTTCATTAGTAAAGAGATTCAAAAATAAACATGACTTACAAATACAGCCGCTACGTGACAGCAATTAACTTTGAGACCTTTTTGGTATTATAAGTGGCTATAAATAGTCAAGTGTTTTCGTTAGGAATTATCTAAACAGCACAACAATGGCTATTGGGGAGCATCTCCAATGGCGGACAAAATATTATTTTCCTTATCTAATCATTGCCTTTATGACCAAATGGTGTACGGGCAGGCTGAATCAATATTCGTACAAATGATCCTATAAACAATCGCATTAACAGGTTGGCTTATCTAGTTTGGCAAGGAGAGAGTAAGATTAGCCAAGGTTTCAACTCCTAATTACTTCCAGTATCTGCGCCTGGTGAGTGCATGGGTGGACATTGCTGGAT